AAGATAATTTGCTGGGGCTGCAAGTGAAGTTTCCTCAGCTAAAGAGCGCATGCCGTTTGACTGCCAGGCATATATAATGCCTAGTTGGGTACTTCAGCCGAGGTACCCAACTATAGACGAGAAAGGCGAGGGGTGGAATAACATCCGCCTTCAAAGTACTCAATTCATTATGGAAAGGGGTATGATGTCAAACGAGTTCCAGCCTCATGGTTCAAAATAAGATGTGTCCTTGGGATCTATTAAAACAGGTTATTTGGGCATTTAGATGTAACAACGATATCGACATTGAGACACAAAAAGACTCCATATTATTTGAAAATAATGACCGGTCTATTGTTGCGGATGGAGTGGAGGCGGAGCTACGTGAGGGTGATGATTGTAGAGTCAGTATGGACCGGTCAGCCCCGGCCCAGGTGACCGGCTGGTTGATGTGGGTGGGGCTATGTGAGGGGGCATTAGGGGGCAGCGCAGGCCCGGCCCAGGTGACCGGCCTGCTGTGGGTGGGGCTATGTGAAGGGTATTGGGGGTCAGTACAGCCCCAGCCCAGGTGACCGGCTGGTTGTTGTCGGTGGGGCTATGTGAAGGGTATTAGGGTTTAGTACAGCCCCGGCCCAGGTGACCAGTCTGTTGTTGTGGGTGGAGCTATGTGAGGGAGGGGGGTATTGGGGGTCGGCAGGGGCACAGCCCCAGCCCAGGTGACCAGTCTGTTGTTGTGGGTGGAGCTATGTGGGGGGGGGGGGTATAAGGGGTCGGCAGTCGGGCAGTGGCACAGGTCCGGCCCAGGTGACCAGTCTGTTGTTGTGGGTGGGGCTATGTGAAGGGTATTGGGGGTCAGTACAGGCCCGGCCCAGGTGACCAGTCTGTTGTTGTGGGTGGGGCTATGTGAAGGGTATTGGGGGTCAGTACAGCCCCGGCCCAGGTGACCGGCTGGTTGTTGTCGGTGGGGCTATGTGAAGGGTATTAGGGTTTAGTACAGCCCCGGCCCAGGTGACCAGTCTGTTGTTGTGGGTGCTGGCGCCCGACTGGTCAGCCCCGGCCCAGGTGACCAGTCTGTTGTTGTGGGTGCTGGCGCCCGACTGGTCAGCCCCGGCCCAGGTGACCAGCCTGTTGTTGTGGGTGCTGGCGCCCGACTGGCGGACGCCGGACCTGCCGTGCCGAGCCGGCCGTCAGTTGACTATCGACCCAGCTCAGACACTATTCAGGCCGTCACCGACCGTCGGAACAGGCGATTGGCCGCCAACAAACGCCACAAACGCTTTGTATAGGCATATAGGCCACAGTGCCGTAATTGCTTCAAAAGTCGAGCCTTTACAGTGCACTGAAAGCTCCCTCAAAGTCAAATGTGAGCTAAAGCAATCAACTTCTTTGATACAGGAGTCAGGCACTCCTAAATTGAACTATGTATTACTATGAACTCTGTATCTGTGAGCCACGTAAACTAATAGTCTGGCCATTTTCAGGAGGATTCAGTTAAAAGGTACAGGTGGACGCGTGACCACATTCTTCGGATTATGACTCGTCCATCGTCTTTGGTCACATCAAGGATGCTTATGTGAATGTTTATTCTAAATTAAAAAGTGGGACTTTTATTGTGAACGATGCTGCATCGCAATATATCTTGGCAAGCGAAAGAGAGCAAAGCAAAAAAAAAAATGGCTGGACAAATTATAGCTGGATTGATTGTAAGCTTGGATTTTGCCGTGTAGAGAATACAGGGCGTTTTAGTTTAAGCTCATGCATGACACCGAAAACCGAAGCTATTGCACAATCACTGCAAACTTTTTACCAAATCAGTAGAGATCACAAGGTATGAGACAGCGAATTGTCTAACGCGATTCAAAACACAAAAGTTAGTCACTAATTGGACTAAAACAGAATGCATGATTGCTGTTTATCTGGTCATAAAATATGTTCCACGCAAATTACAGAGAGCGTGGGTTACAGGTATTACCACAGGTCTGTCGAAGAAGAGAACTGCGCAATACATTGGAATAGTTGCTTATGTTGCGCATCAAAAAACGATAGTTAGGTATAACATACTAAAAAGAACTACTTGACATCGCTCCGAGCCCAAATTCGAAGTTCTTCTTTCTCAAAGAAAAAGCTTAGTTAGACGCCGCTGGACGTGACAAACGCGATGGCGCCAAAAAAGTCGCTCGGCGATCAGCCTTGCCCAACTTTTTCACCAAAACCGGAATCCGACCTTTGAGTTTTGGCCTGAACTTTGAAGCCACCGGTTCACCTTAGACCTTAAAATTGGTTATTAATCGCTGCGTTTCTTTGGGCCGCCAATGCTCTTTGTGGCGTAGCTCTAGGTCAGTTAGGTAGGGGCAAGACAGCGTAGGGGCTGAGGTGGTACCCGCTCCTCCACTCCGCGAATGAAAAAAAACGTTAGTCCGGTCAGCATTATAGTTGAGAAGTTAAATCCTGTGGTTGTGTTTGCCCCTAAGAATATTGGAATTCGCTACTGACAGCCATTTCAGAACTATTACCAACCAGTAATTTAGAACCGAAAAAGGCAACCGATTCAAGATAGGAATAAAGTCAAACCAGTTCCTTTCTCCCCATCCACGAAAAAGTCGCGCATCATCATCATTCGTAGCCAAGTGAAGCGCCATGTTGGTTAGTGTCCAATAAGCGATAGGAATCATGGAGGCGCCACATGGAGGCGCCGTGCCCGTTCGGCGCAGGTCGGGCGACGGTCGGGGGCAGTCTGCAGTCCGCACTCGGCAGCGGCGCCTCGGCCCGCGAAGACACCGCCGTATTGATCGCAGCGGGCCGGCCACCGACGGAGGAGCGGTGACTCACCGCCGACCGGTGACGTCAGCAGCCGCGACCCAAGGGCGGGGCCGTGACCGGAGCCGACCCCATCCCCCCTCCCGGAGAGGTCGCGTGAGGGGAGGGGAGAGACAACAGAGAAAGACAAAACAGAGAGATAGAGAAAGATGAAGAAGAGAAACAATGATCCAAGAGAGGTGTGAAGAAAGGATATCAAAAAAGACAAGAGAGGAACAGAAAGAGAGGGATGATGAGAAAAGAGAGCCATTCCGATACCGCCCGGCAAATTGCACCGACGGGAATAGGATGCCGCTCGCTCATCTATCGCCAACGGATGGTGGCTGGCGCCGATTCGGAACGATTTCATGACGGCTCAGATGGGAAAACAACAGCGCTACTGTTTCTTTTCCCAGACAAAGGCTCGGCCGACACGCGACACATCCGACGAAGGTGTCAAAACGTCCCGGCGACCGCATCGATTCTCACGTCGACTGCAGGTTCTTTCCGACGACAATTGTAGCGATTTCGGCGCAGCGACAGCCCATGGCGCCACTCCAATGTAGTCCTTGTCAACTCCTGGCGCCGCTGGGCCCATTCATAACGTCACAGTCAATCGCCTGCAGCCGTCGTAAGTCGCGTTTCGTCGCCACTCACATAACATAATAGCCGTATACCTACTGTGCAATGTGCAGTGGCCGGGGTCCGGAGGCAGTACTGTACGTACTAACAGTACGACACGGATGCTAGTGACATTACCGACACGGATGCTAGTGACATTATACAGACACGGATGCCAGTATCGCACGATGGGGACCATTTGCTGCCACTGGTTAGTAAAGAGAGAGTCAGATGCAGCTTCGTCAGTGGCCCCTGGCTATTTGTCTCTAGATTGTGTAGGTAGGCTAAAACCAAACAGTTTCCAATAAGGTTTGGGAACTTTTGAGGAATTTATACCCTCCTCTTGAGTATCAGGACACCCAGACTGTTATCAATGGAGTTCACCCAGGTTCTGCTAGATGTCATTTGACCCTTAGGTCAAAAGTGGTTCTTCTTCTTCATCATAACAGACACCCTGAACAATTCTACTGCAAGATTGCATGATTCTCAAACTAATTTTCACCCATAACAGCCTAGCAGAGAGCAGCTTTAGTCATTTACACCATGGGTGTTACACATTTCTAGGTTGTGTGCATGTAGCATGTCATGCTAACACATAAGAGAGGGAGAGGGGTGGACTTGGCAAAAAGTAAGAGAGAGAAAAGGCATGAGAAGAGCAGAGAATGGGGAAGTGGGAGTGATGAGGATTGGGGAGAGGGAGGGTGAGAGACAGAGGATTGGAGAGAGGGTGATAAGGAAAAGGATCAGCAGAGGGAGAGGGAGCATGATAGAGGGAGAGGATGAGGCCGTTGGGGAAGAGGCCAAGAGGGTCAGGGAGAGGAAGGAGGGAGAGAGCTGGAAAGGAAGGGAAGAAGCAAGAGAAAGGGATCATGGATGGAGGGAGAGGGTGAGGAAGATGAAGAGGGAGAGGTCAGAGAGGGGAGAGGGAGAGGGAGAGGGAGAGTGAGAGGGAGAGGGAAAGGGGGTCAAGAGGGAGAGAGAAAGAGAGAGAGGGAGAGAGAGAGAGAGAAAGAGAGAGAGAGAGGGAGAGAGAGAGAGAGAGAGAGAGAGAGAGAGAGAGAGAGAGAGAGAGAGAGAGAGAGAGAGAGAGAGAGAGAGAGAGAGAGAGAGAGAGAGATCGGAAAGGAAGGGGAGAAACAGACTTTGATAGCAAACACATTTCAACATCAAACTTTGGAAGCACCTTTACATCAACAATTGCCATAACCTTGGCCAAACCTACCTATTTAACTGAAAAAGGCAGGAACTTACCAGGTTGAGGCAGGCAGAAAGAAGGCAACTTCCTGTCTTGTGGTCTCGACTTTTCGGTACCTTTGTTGTTGTGGTTGTGGTGTTCACTTTGGCTACAACCTAATTGTGATGAGATAAAAGTTGGAGATGAGATCTGAGGAGAGATTCTAATAATCTTGGGCAGAGATCCCCAACCAAGGCTACTAGATAAACAACCAATCAGTCCCCAAAGGCTTGTGAATATGTGAATCAAAACATTTACATTTATAAAGGTTCTTGGAAAGTAGACCAAAAAAAATATTCATGGTTTTGAAATTACATATCTCAAAAAGAGATCAAATGGAAAAGTAGCATGAATAAAGAGGAAATAAGCGAATGATTGTCCGTACTGCGTCAGATATGTCTAGCTATGGTAAACTTAGCTGTAATTTGGCTAAAATTTTCCGTAGAAAAGTTTCACGTGTGGAAAGTTGTGAAGTGGATTGTCGGTGCGCGTAGGATACTACTTTGACTTCCAATTAGCCTCTCGTTCATTCCTGACATTTTTTCCGATCATAACATGTCTGTTTTGTCATATTCTGTGAAACAGCTAGCAACGATGGGTTAGGCGGGTTTGTTTTGATCAGTTGTTGGTAAACAAGAGGATTGCGTGACCTACTTTTTGAAAGGTAAGCATGTTTTGCATCTCTTATGAATGGTATAATTGTCTTTGAGAGCATCTCATTGATAATTTTGGTATCATATGTCATTGTAGAATGAGATACTTGTCACATCATGATCAGATGGACAGACGGACTCGATGCAGAGAAACTGGATCAATGGAACTTAGTTTCCGGTGTTGACTGTGAACTAGTTAACTGTTAGTTTCATGCTTCACTGGAGAGGCTTTATTCTCATAACCGCAGACTAAAATCACAAATGTTATATAAGCATTGTCATGTTAAATTTAAGTCTACTGTCACTACTCACTGTGCTATCAATTTGAACTTGGGTTATGGTTAGTCATAGTAAATAGGGGTACTACTATCTCTATTGTTTGTTTTTCAAAAGTGGTTTGGCTTCGGCCTTGAGGTTCATCATCACATCTGTTTTGTGAGTGACAGCATTTTCTAGAGTTCCACAGCATGGCTCATCAATGTTCTAATATTAAGTCTTGGTCTCAGCTTGCACATATGGAAATAGTCATAAATAGTTATTTCATGTGTGTCAATCATGTGAATTTCAATTTTCTCAGGTTTGCTTCATGCAATTTTTTGCTAGTGAATAGCATGACATGCAGAAAAATGTACATGGAGGCAAACCACATATAAGGAAACTATAGATATTACCTTCTATTAAACAAACATAAAACATAAATATATTACCTCCTTATCTCCTCCTTACTTCCTACTTCCTCATATTACTTATTCATATGGGAAGTTGGATGTATAGCTTTGGAAGCATTATTGTTTAGTTTTATTTATATGCTGTTGTGATTTGTTTCAGGACCTTCAAACATTCACACTGTGTACCCAACTGTTTCACCAGTTGAAAATGGTAAGTTTGGGGCATTTTTATTTAGAGTAATGGAAATGTTTCTGTATTGCTTTTAAGAGCTCAGTCTCAATCTGAGATAGGTATTTGCCTCTCTGGAACTGCTATTTCTGAATGACAATTATGTCTATTATTGATGGTGAATTGTGCATTTAACCCAAAACCAATATGTGATTTCAGGGAGCTAATGCTTCCCAGCTGGAAAAAGAGATAGGATCAGACCAGTTTCCCAACAATGAACACTACTTTGGGCTGGTTAATGTGAGTACCCATTTCTGTGATAACCTCTGTTAACTAAATATGTACTTACCTTTGACCATATATGGTTGATAGCTTATTCACTGCCTTCTGTCAAATATCAGTGTCAAATTCAAGTCATATCGAGACCCAGGGCGACTCGACTCTGCTGGAACTTAACTCGAAGTTGACTAGAACTACTCACTTGCAATTAGTCCCTGCCTTTTGGCTATTCATAATCTGAGAATTGCCTGAAAAAGTGGAGGCGTATTAAGGGATGCAATCGTCTTGCCATCTGCTCATATTTTGTATCTTCAAGTTTCAACTGCACCCATAAGTCATAATACTCGCTCCTTAATATTTCAGTTCGGCAACACCTGCTACAGCAACTCGGTGCTGCAGGCCCTGTACTTTTGCCGGCCCTTCCGAGAGAAGGTGCTTGAGTACAAGGCCCGCAACAAACGCACCAAGGAGACGCTGCTCACCTGTCTTGCCGACCTGTTTTACAACATCGCCACACAAAAGAAAAAGGTCGGTGTCGCGGACGGACGATTTGCGTAGACTTACCGACCTAACTGGACTTGCCGACTTACCGACTTACTTATCGATCTTGATTCCGTTTTTTTTTTGCGATCGTAATGTTCCAAATAATCGTTCCTTTGTGCATTTTCAGGTTGGGACAATAGCACCGAAGAAGTTCATTGCCCGCTTACGAAAAGAAAAAGAGGAATTTGACAACTACATGCAACAAGATGCTCATGAATTCCTCAACTTTCTCATTAATAATATCAATGAGATCATCCTTGGTAAGCATTCTCCGCTCAAAGTCGTATGTACCGTGCTTTCTCTGGGTGATCGAGCATGATTTGTCGATTTATCTTGGTGTGCCATATTTCAGCACTAGTAGACCGGTGCATTGACCAAGTATTTGCCGTAAATGAGACTATTTCGCGATGTTGACCAGTTGGCTGTTGTTGTGCTGGAGAATCGATCTATGGTGGCCGGTGGTGCGGATTGTGTTACGGTCCGACCACGGCAATGCACCGCAAACGCATCTGATGCAGCCACAGGACGATGGCATCTCGGATGCGCACTAGGCAACAGCTTCTGTCGCTCCTTCTCTCGGACTACGGCTGGGGCTGGCGGCATTGTCGTAAATTGTAATAGGCGGCTGTGTCTAAACCTTACACACAGATCAAGGTGTCCCTATGTAACAATGCTGTAAACACTCGGGTCACGCTATCAAGTCTAGCCACTCAAACTTGCTGAACCTCCCTGACAGCGCTGGACTAACCCGTCTTTCCGCCTTTCTCCCCGGCAGCGGAGCGGAACACACCGGTAGCAAACGGCAAGGGCCGGCCAACGGACTCGGAGGGCAGCTCGTCACTACAGCAGCAGGAGCCCACCTGGGTGCACGAGATCTTCCAGGGCATCCTCACATCGGAGACGCGCTGCCTCAACTGTGAAACGGTACGGCGGCGCTCGGTGGTAGTCGAGGAACTTTGCGCCAGAGTTGCAGCTGGGTAATGCGAAAGTAAAACGCGTTACGCCGCGATATACACGAGCGCTTCATACGGTACCCTGAAGCACCAGGTCGCTGATTATGTCTCACGCCATTGTCCGCTTCTCACAGTGTGTCCGCTTTATTTCCACAGATCAGCAGCAAGGACGAGGACTTTTTCGACCTGCAAGTGGACGTGGACCAGAACACGAGCATCAGCCACTGTCTGCTGCGATTCAGCGAGTCGGAGACGCTGTGCGGCGACAACAAGTTCAAGTGCGACGTCTGCTGCTCCTACCAGGAGGCACAGGTGGGAAATGACGGGCGATTCTGGGGGGGGGGGGGGGGTATAGGGCGGCGTTGTTTTTGTTGCATAGCCCGGGGTCGATGTTCAATTACAGCACACGAGATACAGCAGTAAGAAACCGCCTTCAGATGCCTCTAAGTATCGCTACCCTGTTATACTTCACGATATATCTAAAAATGATCATGGTTATTGGCTAGTCAACCGACCTGTCAGTTTTCCTGCTCTGCATTTGCCGCATTGTCACCTCGCACAATGCATCGGCACACTTTATTACAGTTGTAGGGAAAAAATCTAACTGGTGTACCGTTTCGGTCAAATCGCGGCGGTTTGCGTGACATTTTCCCTGTGCACGCCATTACGCCAATAACTGATCAGTGATCGAATTAGTCTGTTGGGCGCATACCTGCCATTGGTGCGCTGTTTTCCTGCATTTTAATTTATTAAAGGGAAGTGGATTATGCATCCATTTTGTTGTTGTTTTTTTATCCTTGTATTTTCCCCTTTCTAGTTACCGACCATAAGTGATAATCATTTGGCTGATGTATAGCGTCTCGGGCGTATTGGAGTAGCAGCTGCATTGGTGTGCATTTCTTTGAACTACGATCATGACTTCTCATGACAGTTGTGGCCTGTATTATGCCAGTAGTAGGTAGAGGGTTATCTAATCGTTGGCGTTTATGTTTGACTGGTTGTTGAATGTACTTTCCTATATTGCCGCAACTGCCAACTTTACCTCAAGCTAGGCAGTGCAAAATCAAACAACTAGTTGCATTGAACTGCCAGCCTGTTAATCTTTATATTAGTGCATCGTTTTTTTCCTCGGTACGCTATACGTCAAGTGTTGTTGGCTCATTCCAACTTGTTTTGCTAAGTATCCCACCCTTGCATAAAACACTGTACCAACACCCACTGAGAGCCTGTGGCCGCTGGGCTGACGATGCGGCCCTCCCTGCAGAAGCGGATGCGGGTGAAGAAGTCGCCGACGATCCTGGCGCTGCACCTGAAGCGGTTCAAGTACATGGAGCAGTACAGCAGGCACATAAAGGTGTCGCACCGCGTCGTCTTCCCCCTGGAGCTGCGGCTCTTCAACGTGGTGAGTGGGGCATGGTGGCCGAAAGCGCGAGTCGGTGATAAAATCGGATATTTTGAGTTGTGGTGCTGGAGATCCGATGTCCGTGGCACCGGACTGGATTTGTAACCTGATATGGTCCTCTGTGACCGGCGGTGGTCCTCTGATGTGACCCTTGCTGCCCCCAGTCTGATGACGTGGTGACCCCGGACCGGCTCTATGACCTGGTGGCGGTGGTCGTCCACTGCGGCTCCGGCCCCAACCGCGGCCACTACATCTCCATAGTCAAGTCGTACGGCTTCTGGCTGCTGTTCGACGATGACGTCGTGGATGTGAGTTACATCAGCTGATGGGGGTGATATCAGTCTGACTGTATGATAGAGGTGACACCGGCGGTATTGGTGTCCAGTGCTGAGAGGTGGGAATGGGTGGGATTATATTGGAAACGGTGGGTTGGGTTGTTCCACCGTGGATATTGGAATAGTGGGTCCCTTGTGTTATGAACAAGGATGGTTTTACGAACGTTATTTGGATATCGTTCGGCTTGATACTGTTTCGGCGAAGTTATGACTATGAATCGGAAGGTTGTTATATTGCATTTCACCTTAATTTGGTTGCATTTAAATTGTAGCTTTTGGATAATCATGGGAAGTAAAGGGCACTATGCTTTTTGATTCACGTTTATTTCGCTGTTTTATCTCTTATAGCGCTTAGGTAATGACAGGATTGCATCGCACATTGTCAACGCTTGCCCTGTTACGTCCGCACCGGTTGACCGGTTGTCTCCTGCTTGCAGAAAATCGACCCGTCTTCTATCGAGGACTTTTTCGGGTTGACCTCCGACATTCAGAAGTCGTCCGAGACGGGCTACATCCTCTTCTACCAGTCTCGAGACGCGGCCTGATGCGTCGCTCCGCTGCGGAGACTGTGACCCGCGCTCTGCTCATGCTCCCGCCCGCAGGAGATCCACTCATACACCTAACACACAGACACACAAACCTACCACACCTCGCACACACGGCATACATACACCACGACACACGATAGACGGGACCGGGCGGCGGTGCCGGGTCGTACGACTCTCACAGATGTTGATCATGCCATATGTTTATTTTGGAATCGGTGCTGCTGGCGCTGAGCTGGAGATTGTGACTCGGGGAGGGGGACTGGGCGGCCGGTGAGGGGTGTGGGTGTGGCGGCCCGCCGTCCTCCGGTGGGACCGGCGGGTCTCTCAGGAATCGCCGTGTGGTTGGGAGATGGTGGGAGGCTGTCCCTGTCGTGGCAGCCCGTGCCGGACAGGACGGGACGGGCGGCCGCGGGGGGAGCGCCGCCTCTGAGGCTGTTGGCGGGGGTTAGTTTTGTATGCGTGCGTTGGCTGGGGACGCTGCTCACCAGGGCGCCGTGTTGGCGTCGCGGGCGTTTGGAGGAAGGTTGTTACATCCGCACCGACATGCGCGATAGAACATCGATGCGAACTTGCACTGTATGCAGTGGTTAGTGTGTGTGTGCTGAGATCTATTGTGTTCGCGCGCGGGCGTGGTATATTAGGCTGTCACAAATCGCGTACGGGCAGCCTCGTCCTGCCCGCCGATCGGCTCTCAGATATATGGCTCGATATTGTCGCGTTACGGGCGGTCCCCGCCGTCGTGCTGTTGTGGTGGGGCTCCTGACGGCCACTCTCGGACGCGCTCTCAGCAGCGGTCTCCAATCGTGTCCTCCGTCAGTTGATCGCTGTGTTCGGCCGGCCGGCGGTCTCACCCGCCGCTCCTAGAGGAACGACTCGGCCTCCCGTCTCCCCTGTCCCTCCAGTCGGGCGCGCTCCCGGCCGCCGGGCTGTTCCGGCGCCGGCCGCGCGAGACACGGTTGTTATTGTTGACCAGCGCTGCGCCGGCGGCGTAGGCACCTAGTCTTTCCCGCCCTTGATCCGCTCGGTGAGAGACTGAGTGCAAAGCGAGAGAGTGCGCGGCCGGCTGACCCGGCCGGCCACGCTATTTATTGTCGGGCGGTGCGGGGAGGGAGGTGGAAGGACGAGGGAGCGCCGCCTCTGGCCGGCTGGTCGTGGGCTCGGTGCCACCCTGCGGAGATCAGAGCTGTGTACGCCAATCGGCCGCTAGCAATATAGATATGACGTAAAACCGGTGCGTTTTGCTGATAGGCCTTTTCCATCTGCGTATGTTCTGCAAGACGGTTTGAAAATGGCTGGAGGGTGAGAGATACGCAGGGTCGTGGCTCGTGGTGTTGGCATCGCCCAGGACTTTCGTTCTGCGGTATTCTTTGCAAAGACAGGTAGCGACACTAGACCTCAGCAACGACAATGGATGTTGCAAATCTTAAACGAACTTTTGTCGCGGAGAATCGTTTAATTACTTGGAGTATTCCTTATCTCGACTCTTAGCGCACGTTCGACATCCGGATAATCAGGGATAATTTTCCGGGATCACCGGGATCATTCGGTGTTTTAGGCTGACACCGTGCACAACGGACATGACGACGAGTAAAAGAGGCATCTGTGAAGCAAAAGCAATATAAAGATGTAACTGATTGCATCGATGGTCCCTGCAATTCCAGCTAATTACCAGTAATTCCGGATAATTATCCCTTATTTTCCGGATGTCGAACGCAAGGCTAGTCTAGTCCCTGCAAGTAAACAGGGAACATTGATGCGCAAGATTGATGCGTGCTCTACTAGAAAAGTAGCAGCTCTAAAAAATCGTCAGCGTATGAAACTATTCGAGTGTTTTTAGTGTTCTACGCTTTTGAGTTTTGATGACGTAAACAATCAAGCGCGATTGTTCATTTGGTCATTTCTTACGTGAGCGCCTACCATAGCAATGCGGTGAAAAAATGAACAGTATCTAAAATAGACGAGGGCTGCGCGAGAATATTTCTTGCGGCATTAGCGGATTCCCGAATTTCTTTCCGCGTTTGAGTGGGCGGGTTGCGGTCCTGGTGGGTATTCTGTAGCTAATATCATGATATGCTTCTTTTTCAATTTACTGATTCCATTTGACTAGCACATAAAACTACATAGATCGTATACTGATGAAACTGTAACTCGTATTTATTCAACAATATGTAAAGTAAGGTGATTGGTGGGTGACGGGAGTGCACAACCTGAGGCAGTTCAATGGATGAGACAAAATCAAATATCTCAATCATTTACTTACCTCAATGAACATTTTCGTGAGGAAATTAGCTGTTGGTGGGCTAAAACAGTTGATGGTTTATGTTACACCAACATTGATTTTGAGATAAACATTGCTTTGAAATAAAAAACTGATGTATGTATGTCAAAGAATACTATTCAAAAATACCTTTTCATTATCAATCCCCACAATTATGTCCATGCCACTCAAATCTCATTCATGAATAATTCACATTTGTACTATGTGCTTCAGACACAGTATATTTCTGCCAGAGACTCATTCGGAAATCCAACTTTTGTTTGGGATTAGGAAGGATGAGAATAGTGGTGGAAGAAGAGGATTGGGTTAAGCTTAGATGAGCTTGGAGGAGTGACAGGTACAATTTTTTTAACTGAGAGGAGGTCAGAAGAGCTTACATAGAGGAGGTTGGAGCAACCACAGGAATAGACTCTATATGATTATGTATAGTCATATTTAAAGGAAAAGGGCCACCTTTAACATGGGGATTGAAACTGAGATAGCCATCTTGTAGCCCGTGTCTGAAAACCAGTCTGTCTACCTTCTTACGGCCGATTTCGGCCTCCATTTGTAGTTATCGGCAATTTTAAAAGAAAATACGCCAGGAATGCGTCCTTATCCCAGGAATGCGTTCTTATCCGACAATACAGCCACCCGCGGCGAGGCTTTGGTTTTTTACCAATCAGCTCCAACCAGCTCAGCTTTAACCAATCAGCTTATCTGACACAATCCGACGAGTCTGTCTTCTGAACGCTGATTGGCTTGAGTGTGACGTCATCGCTATGCCATCATACAGTAGGTGCCGTAGAGAGTATCAACATAGTACCAATATGTTAAATAGTTTAAAATACTTTTTCGCGAATTGTGCACTTCTGGCACCAGTTTTAAAAAGAAAATGAAAAATAATAATGTCAAAATGAAAAACAACGATATCTTCATATTTCACGAAGGTGGCCCTTTTCCTTTAATCAAATAGATCAAACTGCCCAGGTATGCTGATTTGCCTGTTATTTAGCAAGAGCCACCTTAAAATAGCATCTCCAGTGGTGAACCAGAATCTTGGAAGATCAGGCATGTTGATGTTGAATCTTTGATGTCAGTGACTCAGTAATAACTAGCCATTCTTTTTCAGGGACTTGGTTAGCTTTAACAAATTTTTAACAACATGCTGACAAGAGGAGCAATCACACTGCTGGTAAGTAGAGGGAGGCAGAGTATGCTTGTGTAATGGTAATGTATGTGCCATATTTTGCTACCATATCTATTGTTTTTCTTTTTGTTGTCAATAATGATCTAAAATATGCACAGTTTATTCTCTGGAACAGCTTATCAAACAACTTACAGGCTCCACCTATTTGATTTGTGCTAAGTAACTGCATGGCATGATTTAATCCTATTTTCTTGTGCAACGTCTTATGACAGGTACCTATTAGCTGACTATATATTTACTTCTCTCACCCTATTCCCTATCTGTTTGCGTCTCAGCGCGGCGGCCGCCGCTCGCTGAGCACCAGCGCCGTCCGGCCGGCACAGGTGACCGTGCGGGACGCGCTCAATGGCGCCATGGACGAGGAGATGGCGCGCGACGAGCGCGTCTTCCTGCTGGGAGAGGAGGTGGCCCAGTACGACGGCGCCTACAAGGTGTCTCGCGGCCTCTGGAAGAAGTACGGCGACAAGAGGGTCATGGACACGCCCATCACAGAGTCCGGGTTCGCTGGCATTGCCGTCGGCGCCGCATTTGTGAGTGTGTGGGAGATCCGGGAACTGCGGGGGAGGTGGGGGAGGGGTTTGCTATGTGGAAGTCAATGGAGGCCTACGCTGTCCAGCTCAAGGGTCACATGTTGGTCTAGGGAGACTGGATGGTGGACAGTGCTGAGTGCTGACAGTGTGGGTGGCGCTGTCGTGGCAACAGGACCTGGAAGTTGAAGTGATCTATGCCGAATGACGTTGCTAGCTTGAACTTTTGGAATTGCTCTTACCTTGGCTGGCTATTGACACAAAATAGCGATAAACTTTTAGCATATATGCTTTTAAACGATTTTTACATTTAGTTAGCATGTGAAATCGTACTCAGTTTCGAAGTTCAAACCACGACTTAATTTGTTGAGAAAAATTTCGCCAGGTGTATCGTCGAATTGATTGTTGCCTTTTGCAGGCCGGCCTGCGCCCGATTTGTGAATTCATGACCTTCAACTTCTCTATGCAAGCTATCGATCAGGTTATCAATTCAGCAGCGAAAACATTCTACATGTCTGCAGGCTTGGTAAGTCATCTGATAAATGATGATGTTTCTGTTTTATGATGAGCGTTCATCACACACACATTCCTGATTATCTTGCCGTCAACTATAATCTTCAGTTACATCTTTTATCTGCCGGAACACCAACAGCTCGACCGCCCTCCAGAAATGTTACCTCTGTACAATGAAGTGCCTCCCATCCCTGTCCCTCTGACTAACACCACCCGTGTCCATTATCGGCAGATGAACGTACCGATTGTGTTCCGGGGCCCGAACGGAGCCGCGGCCGGTGTGGCTGCCCAGCACTCGCAGTGCTTCGCGTCGTGGTACTCCAGCTGCCCTGGCCTGAAGGTGAGTGACACGCGACGGGGGCCGGTGTGCTCACGGGCGTCCCTTGGTGTTTCGGTGCAGAACTGGCGGGTGATGACCAATGGAGACGGTGAGGTATGATAGGCTACTTTGGGTGTGAGTGTTGGATGTCGGCCCGGGGTATGAATAAGAAATGCAATGGAATGGACACCTCTTCCAAATGCTTCAACGAAAGTCACGCAACTTCCTTTGGACGCACGACTCTCCGTTTTCACCTGTCATTTCTGTCTGAGGACTTACAACTCATCATAGGTATGTGATGTGTCGTAAGCGACTCATTTCGTTTTCGTCGATTGACCCCTTATTTCCTGCTGCCCTCTGCCTATTACAGGTGGTGTCGCCATACAGCTCGGAGGACGCGCGCGGCCTGCTCAAGGCCTCCATCCGCGACCCGGACCCAGTGGTGTTCCTCGAAAACGAGCTCATGTACGGCACACCGTTCGAGGTCAAGGACGAGATGCTGCAGGACCGCGACTTCGTCCTGCCACTGGGAAAGGCCAAGATCGAGCGGCCGGGTATGACGGGGACTGGCACAAGCTGGGGTCAGAGGAGCTGTACTAATCGCGTGAACCTACGTCGTCCTTTGACGTGGCCTGTCACTATGGATTTGCATGAAACAAAATGAGAAACTGTTCACGGCTTCGCTTGTTTCTCATTACCAAGCAACTGAACCGATCCCCCCCCCCGCCCCTTCCGCAGGTAAGCACGTGACGCTGGTGGCGTTCTCTCGCCCGGTGGGCATCTGCCTGGAAGCGGCCGACCTGCTGGCCGCCGAGGGCATCGAGTGCGAGGTGGTGAACCTGCGCACCGTGCGGCCGCTCGACATCGACACCGTGCTGCAGTCGGTCACCAAGACGCACCACTGCCTCACCGTCGAGCAGGGCTGGCCGCAGTGCGGCATCGGATCCGAGATCGCCGCACGCATCATGGAATGTGAGTGTGCGGGGAAATGGAGGCGCTTAACGGTCTGACTAGTCGGTGGTGATAAAGTTCAATGGTCAATGCAATATTGCACTATTGACAGTGACACCTTGTTTGAACTGCTTACCTCGTTTTGGATTCATCAATACTTGAGACGTTTTTATCGCTATACCAGACTTTCCCGTGCTTGATTTTTTATTCTTTTTAAAAGAATAGAACTAATATATTAAAATTGTCTACTGAGAAACCTGTCATTCTAACGCCCGTTTCTGCTTCACCGCAGCCCCGGCCTTCTACGAGCTCGACTACCCGGTGACGCGTCTGTGCGGCGCCGATCTGCCGATGCCGTACGCCAAGAGCCTGGAGGACGCGTCACTGCCCACCGCTGGCGACGTGGCGGCCGCCGTCAAGAAGGCGCTGAACGTATCGTGAGGAAGCAGACTGTCCGTCGGGCGGGGGTGGGGGCCGAGAGCCGGTTAGGTGACGTTGAAAGCCACGATTCAGTCAACTGGCGGTGTGTGGAGGTGCGCGGTCGGTCGGTACAAACGAGGTGGCGCGCTTCGTGCCGGTGTCTTGCCCCGCTGCTTCCCACCCGGGGGGTTAGGTATCTATCTGTGTGCGAATTACTGACGTCAGCCGGCCTGCCGCGGGCCGGTAGCGCTGGCACTGCCGACTGGACGGAGACTGGAAGCGAGGGTTTACCCGGTGGGACTCAGGTGTGCGACAGGTGCAATATCGCGCATACCTCGGTAGTTTGAATTGCTGCAAGACGAATAATGTGTCCGTGACTGGTGGACGGTGGTAGATGTGTGTGACAATACAGGTCTGAAAGCGGACGTTTACGCAATACCAGATGATCGAGCGACAGACTGCACTCCTTTGGATTGACTATAAATTCGCCAGAAGCCAAGTCCGTAAGACGGTGCAAAGGTCCTAAAGGGATACATTGATGCGGTCTCGATCACAGTGCCTGGAGTCATCCCGGGCAGGACCGGCTGAGGTACGAGTCCAAGGAGCTCAGTCTGTTCAATGTCAGCAAATATATTTCGGATCAACTCGGGATGCTGTAGCAACATTTCTAACCACGCAGACACCGGTAAGCATTACAGCGACCCTGCCAGCGGCACTAGTGTTACGCCTAAACCAGCACCCGTAAGCTTCATCCTTCAATCCACAAACCGCAGCGCTCCATAACAGCCTAACAACTAACCTCGGTACAAAAGTATAGAAAAGCTTTCACTGCGCTCACAGGTACCATCTTACCGTCCAACCCAACTGTCAATTACAGCCTCTCCCAATATTGCACATTGCACAACAGCTGGCAGTTCCGTCCCCCCCCCCCCCATCCGCCCCCCTTACCTCCCCGAAAGGCATCGCCGGCCTGTGTGGCGCTCAGCGGGGACACATGGCGTGGCGACCACCGTCCACCGGCAGGGTGGCACCTGTGATAAAGGACGCCTCATCTGACGCCAAAAACGCGATGGCAGCCGCCACCTCCTCCGCCTGACCGGGCCGACCGAGCGCGTGCGTCTCCTTACTCCGCTCCAGGAAGGCGGCGTACGCTTTGTCGTCCAGTCCGCCGCGCTTCTGCAGCTCTGTGATGATGACGCCCGGATTGACGCTGTTGACCCGCACCTGGTGCGGCGCCAGCTCCAGCGCCAAACAGCGCGTCAGCTGGTCCAGCGCCGCCTTGGACGTGTTGTAGGCGAGCAGGCCGGGGAACGAGCGCAGTCCGTTGACGCTGGAGACGTTGACGATGTTGCCGCGGCTGGCGATCAGGTGCGGCGCCGCCAGCGTGCTCAGCTGGTACACGGCGCGAACGTTGACGCCCATGACGCGGTCGTACTGCGCCAGCGAGGTGTTCTCCACGCTGCCCGTCTCCAGGATGCCGGCGCAGTTGACCAGCACGTCCAGCCGGCCGTGGTGGCCCACGGCGCGCTCCACCAGCTGCGCCGTGTCCGCCTCGCGCGCCAGCTCCGCCTCGATGGTGAATGGCCGGCCGCCGGCGCCCTCACAGTCGGCAGCCACACGCTGCAGGTTGTCCGCGCGACGACCAGTCAACGCCAGGGTGGCACCCCGGGCAGCCAGCAGCCGCGCGGTGGCGGCGCCGATACCGGAGGAGGCGCCCGTCACCAGCACTACTTTACCAGCAAACGCCATAACGATCAGGCAGACTGCGGTTGGACCAGGAGTACCAAATCAGCAGCTGGAATAGAGAAATAAGAATCGGTACATTAAAACTGCAGTCTTCTACTCTGCAGTTCTGAGGTGCTAAAAAACTGATTTCTTGAGATAGAGTTTCTGAATATGAGAGGTGTCATCCGTATGTATTAAAAGTCTTGGCTTTCTCGTGGTTGTCAACCATCCAGCTTGAATCAACCCGGGCACCCTATGTTTTAGAGCGAGGCAGCTTCAAACCACTTGCCCAAGGCCATATTTAGGCACTTGCCAGTACCCAACCAGTGTATAATATTGGGAGTGGGTAGCCTGTAGTCAGTATACAGAAAGTTTATTTGAATAGCTGGTGACTGCATGGGAAAGATCATTAACATGGAATGCCCTGACACCAGGGCATTTCATGATTTAAGACAAATAAATTGACATTGGTAAAACTTAAACAAAACAAAAGGAAATGCTTTGGATGGTGTGCTACGCAGTGGACACCGAATGTCCTTTTCATTTTTTATTTTTTCACCTTATTTCACCTTGTCATCAACTAACTGGACACGTACTGCAGAACTCGAGACTGAAACCATGTACAGTGTTATCAAGGACACTCTCCTATCTCTGGCATCGACCTGCATACCCCTCGCCAAGGGCATTTCATCACCAGGGCATTTCATGATTTAAGACAAATAAATTGACATTGGTAAAACTTAAACAAAACAAAAGGAAATGCTTTGGACAAATGACAACAAAAAACAGGAGTCTCAAACAGGAGTCTGTATATCAAACGGGAGGCCCTGCGGCTCAAGAAGCTCAAACGCTCTATGTGGTTTCAGTATGTACGCACAAGAGACCCGCTGGACTATGCACGCTTCACTCGCGCCCGGAATAAGCTGCGTACGCTTACCCGTAACCTTAGAGCAGGTTTTGAGAAGAAGCTAGTCGCAGACCTCCGAGAAAACCCCAAAGGATTCTGGCGTTACACTGGCTCACGATTGCGCACCAAATTAAGAGTTGAGGACCTGAAAGGTGATGATGGGACGATGGCACGGCAAGACAGTGAGAAAGCGAGCCTGCTAAATCGTTGTTTCCAAAGTGTCTTTACTACTGAATCAGCTGTCTTGCCTTCGTTAACTCCTTCCTATCTGGGCCCCCGTCTGGAAGACGTGGACATCAGCGTTGCATCGGTGAAAGGGAAGCTTCTCAAGCTCAACGCGGACAGTGCACCAGGGCCGGACGGACTTCACCCCAGAGTTCTTCGCGAGACGGCAGAAGCGATGGCGGAGACATGGACACGGCTGTTCCGTTCCTCTGTGGACTCTGGTATCCTCCCAAGAGACTGGTGCGTTGATGAAATCGTCCCAATCTTCAAAAAGGGCCTCAGGACGTCTCCTCTTAACTACAGACCGGTCACTCTCACAGCAGTCCCCTGTAAAGTGCTAGAATCGTTGATACGCGACCAGCTGATGGCACATCTCACCCGGACGGGACAGTTGAGTGGTGCACAGCACGGATTCAGACCGAGGAGATCCTGTTGCACTCAACTTCTCGAGACTCTTGAAGAGTGGACCAGAGGCCTAGAAAAGGGTGACTCAATTGATGCTGTTTACCTTGATTTTAGCAAAGCGTTCAACTCTGTTCCACACCAGCGCCTGCTTCTGAAGCTGCGGGCCTGCGGTGTTGATGGCAAGCTCCTGAAGTGGGTGCAGGCGTTCCTCACGGGAAGACAACAGAGGGTCCGTGTGAACGGTGCACGGTCGGAGTGGGCCGCGGTGACCAGCGGGGTACCACAGGGAACTGTCTTGGGTCCGCTGTTGTTTGTTGTCTATGTCAATGACCTGCCCGGCGAAGTCGCGTCCTCTATCAAGATGTTCGCAGACGACACGAAAATTTACAGGAGTGTCAGCCGGGCATCAGACGTTCTCAGCCTCCAAGCCGACCTAGATACGCTTGTTGAATGGTCGGAGCGTTGGCAGCTGCCCTTCAACAGAGCAAAGTGCAAGTCACTGCATCTGGGCCCCCGCAACGGCAACCACGTCTACTGCATGGGTGACACACAGCTGGACCAGACCTCGGTGGAGAAGGACCTCGGGATACGTCGACCATCAACTCAAGTTCCGCGACCAGGCAGCTGCAGCGATTACGAAGGCTTCGCGCATCCTGTCCGTGATCCGCCGAAGTTTTGCCCTTCTAGATGAGAATACTCTGCCTCTGCTGTTCCGAACGATGGTGCGGCCTCACCTTGAATATGCCAATTCCATCTGGGGACCCTTCAATCGGGAGGACCAGAGGCGCGTAGAAAAGGTTCAGAGGAGGGCCACGAAGCTGGTCGCCACCATCCGAAATCAGCCGTATGAGGAGAGGCTCCGGATCCTCGACATGCCGTCTCTCTACCACCGCTGTCGCCGTGGTGACATGATAACTGTCTACCAGGTGCTGAGACAGGGGATCGACCTCGAGGCGGAGAGGTTCTTCGCGGCGGCGGTGGCAGGCAACACCCGCGGACACCGATGGAAGCTGTCAAAACCGAGGGCCGTCTCCCGAGTGCGTCGAAATGTCTTCTCCGTCCGCGTCATCAACGATTGGAATGCACTACCGCCATCAGTCGTCGACGCTCCCAGCCTAAACGCATTCAAAGCCAGACTGGACAAACACTGGGCACATTCGAAATACACAACTCATCTTAACGACTGAGTCAAGGCATTGCAACTGCAAGGAGCTCGATAGGACCGGATCCTTGAGGCCAAGTGGCCTTTCAAAATTCCGCACATTATAAGTATAAGTATAAGTATTATTAGATAAGATAAGTAGGGATCAGGATTCAGAGGTTCATAACAATAACTATGTACAGAATAATGGCATAAATGTATAATTTGGCAACTGCATTTACACATAAACCATCGACATGCATGACGACACAGCATCAGTCACCCTGCGAGTTGCAACCCCCCAATCATGATCACACCAAAATCACAGAAGTCCCAGGTCTGAGGTCACCAAAGAATCAGCGAAATCAGTGAATGACCCAAGGCCACATACAGGGAATGACCTATTGATGTGGCACGTGAAACGGGGACGGTGATGAGGGATGGCGAAACAAGTTCCAAATGTTCCAAACACCAAAGCCCTAAATACAAGGCCAAACACCTTTCAGCCCAGGGTTTCAAGTTTCAGCTTGCTTTCAGCAGCAATGGTTTACAGCCTTGGCAGCAATAACAAATCACAGTTATCGTTGCAGTCGATAGAGGGCATTGGTCGGCTCTCTCTATCGTCTGGAGGTTTCGAAAGATGCTCTCCAGAGATGGCGCTAGTAAATTTGGCTGACATGACGTCATGCTAAAAAGTGATGGGTTTTGTGAGAGCAAATGTAATAATAGTTGAAAATTTTGTACTTTTGCTTAATTAAGAAAAATAAATATACAATTGTTCAAAACAGTGTTTTCCTCATTCAACCTTCATTGTTTTAAGAGGAATATAGACAGTTTAAATATTTTTTCTTGACTGCAATTCGCACACGCACTAAATTAAAAGCTGGAGTTTTGTGCGTTCGTAAATCGTGATTTGAGAAAATAAGTTGACAATAATCTTTTGCACTTTTGCTTTACAATCATTTTTCAATGCAGATAAATGCATAAATTATTCGAAAAAAGGCATATCTTTGAAATATTATGATTTTCCACAAGCAAATTTTCCCAAAAACTTGAACTACTTACAACTGACGAACGCATCCAATAATCTGGATGTCTTAGGATGAGTTCGTCATTTTTTTCCAAGGAAATACGATACAGTTCAAGCTACTTTACCGATTTATTAGGGTACTTTTGCCAATGAATTAATAAATAAATGACAACAATCAATCTCATTATCAACCATACTCGGAAGAATTTTCTTCGCATAAGCGCGAACACATCCGCGCTTTCATGAAAAGTCACGCCTGTAGATGTCAGGACTGCTGCTTTATGTTTCGCAAGGTGGCGCAGCGCGCAGGGTACCGACTACCGAGGCTGAGGTCTCCAGACTCTCCACCACGATTTCACTTGGAAATGGCCGATGGGGAAGGTCTCACCCAAAAACGGACGCCCTTTTACACAACTGCATAAAGAGAATGAATTATTGGCATAGCTGACCACACGTCCCCTCCCCCTCTCCGCCCCAGCTCAATAGGAAATATCGCCTATTTTCCTTAGTCAGTTATATTCTGACTAATTTCTCACTCTTCCCAGTACACCTTAACATGCATGATGCAGATGTCCACTGCGTAAGTCGTGTGCTTCCGTAAGTGTGCCAACTGTATAGTGTTGCCTACACTCTACAGTGCCTACTGCTTCCCCATTGTCGTTATAATTGGTGATTCTCAGGTCAAAAGTTACACAGTGGTCTCAGAGAACAATCGTTTCAACAAATTAACGATTCAAACCGTTGCATTCTACTGATATTCCGGTCAGTTCTGCTACTAAACGATTCCGGCAAAACACTCTTTAGGTTATGTATTAGCGAACCACCAAACAAAATTCGCCCAATCAATGGTCAGTTATTACTGCTGGGCTGAACCGTCATACGCTATATAGCCTATTGCAGTCAATATTTTCAGAACGATACTGACTGACGAAACACAACGTATTCGCGGATTCGCACATACGTTGGCACCCAGGTGGCCTGTCAGCAGCCGCACAAATCCGCACAGCGCAGCCGGGATTTGACATTGAGATGGTACACCGTAAAGCATGCCTTTCCACACAGGCACAAGCACAGGGACACAAATTCTCAAAATCCAAACTTATTCCAATACTGGTCAATTACGAATAGGCATAAAGTTTTGAGGTTTTCTCATGTTCATTCTTCTTTCAACACACGCGGCAGACTGCAGCAGCTGCAGAACATCTCACAGAGCTGCGCTGGATGCAGTCATGAGCTGGGACACGGTTTGTGACCACTGACCAATGACCGATCGGGGGTGCCAGCCTCCTCCCGGCACGCGATGCACTGGCCGCCGCGCAGTCGATGTCGGGGCACCGCCGGCATTCGCCGACAGGGTTCCATCCGATTCGGTGTATTGGTGGCAGCCCGAACAGTGACCCACGCGAAGCTGGCGGACGTCGATGGCCGATGAGCGATGCCCTTCCGCGACCGGCGGTGGCAGTCGGTCCCACATCAAGAACAGATACCAGTCATGCGGTCAGTCGGCGACGGCGCTGTCGCGAGCCGATCTGATGGTCGCGCGGTGGGCGTTGCCGACGTCCACCGGGACCGTCGACTGGGGGAGCGCGGCCGCCTCTTGGCCGCCGCCTCTGGTCGGCGAGCTCGTTGCGCTGTGGGACGGCATCCACTGCAAGTCGTTCACTGTGAAGCGGTCGTTTGACCGGACCTGGCAGGCGGGGAAAGGGGGCCTCAGATGAAGTAAAACCATCCCTCAGGCCAGCTTGAACTGGCTCTCCACCTCACCATGTTAGATAAGCGGACACCCTCGTGATCATTGCAGCGATGATTGCCAATTGGTGTGTCATTATGGGAGAGGATGCCAGCCTCCTTTGCAAGATAGTCTGCCTTTAATATAGTGCAGCCCGACCCATTGCCTGTGGCGCAGACTGGGCTTGATAATGCAGTGCAGGACACACCAAACGTAAGCGGCCATCTGTACCCCCTGTGCAGTAGGGCTGACTCAAGAGCCCAGAGTTGCCCTCCCCCCACCATTCTGTGCACGTGATAACTGGATGGGACATGCCATGGTCAGCATCTGTTCAAAAGCTGCCCTAAGCATGTAAAGCTCCACTGGCATGCTCAAGCATGGTCACAGTCAGTTCTCACTTCTCAGTTGAACCTCCAATGGAAACCCATCACAAAGTAGAGATCAGGGCACCTCTCACACTGCAGCACACTTAACAACTGAGGCACCATCTCATCACTTGCAGGTGGTTCTTGCCAGGAGCAATGCCAGCCACGCACATCAGGTGATAACAGCAGTGTACAACTGCAATCTACAAGCATCCATGTTCTTTCTGGTTTTCTCCTGTTGAGATCCACTGCCATGCATGAACTTGATGGGCTTTTGTTGCGCTCCTCCCATGTGCAGACAGGTTTCTGCTGAAACAAAGCAAAGCAAATGTGATTAATAATGGCCCTGTTTCACCATCCAGACACTGTGTGCACTGGTAGCTACGGCATACCATAGCATCACTCAAATGACGTTGCATGTGATCTCTTAGTTTATGATCAATCGCGTTTGGAACAGAGTGAGAGGTTCTGAAGAACCGTACCAAGAACAGAGGTTTGAGTTCAAATACTGCTAGCATGCTGCTGGTGCTGGTACCGCAGCGTGCAGCGTTCTGGGATGCTGTCATAGCTTAGCGTCACAGTGAAGTTTGTTGACACTGCCATGGAAACCCAATGCTCTGACACACGCAGCGCACTGCAGTGCTGAGCACTGCAGTGCGTGCTCTGCCGTGAAACTCCACCCATGAACGTTGGTTGCATGACCAGGATGGAGCAGTGTGGCAGACAGTGATTTTAATTTTAATTGCACTTCCTAGAGATTAAAATGTTGTTGGTGAAATTGCTATTCATTATTCCTATTACCATTGTCTAAATTTCACATTTCAAGACAGTATCAGCATTGACATGTTATATAAAATAAGGTTTAGACTTCAGGTGGTCCCGGGTTCAGCTATTAAGTAAAACAAGGGCAAAAAATTGTCAAAATTTAAAAAAAATACCTGCCTTCATCAACACCTCATCTAATCTAACCTCATCCTCATCTAACAAGGCCCTAAAAGCAAAAACCGTTTGAATAACAATGCAATATTTTGCAACCGCTGCACCATTACTGTCACGTACGCTATCCCTAGATTGGTTGCTGGTAAGTAGTGGTTGTCGTCATCAACTCGTCATGCAGCAGCTGATTGGGATGGGCGGGGCCTATTTTTATCCAGGCGATAGAGAGAGCCCATTGGTCAAGGGTCAAGTCAAGGGTCAAGGTCATTAAATAGAGAAGAGGAAAAGTTTCCATGAAGTTTGCATTTGAATGTTTTTGTTTACTTGCATTTTGTTAGTTCGGCTGGAAGTTCAGCTGAAAAAGATTATTTTCGAATTTATTTTTCTTATTGTAATTGTACTCAGACAAAAACAGCATGAATATTTGTGATCAAAATATATAAGGATTAATTGGAATAAACTGAAAACAGAATGAGTATTAAAATGCCTGTTTTCTATTTAGTTCAGGAAATATATAACAAATGATTTTTTATCGAAAATTTAGAGTACTTTTGTACTTAGTCGAACACAGAGTACCTGCCTGAAATGGATATTCAGAAACCCATCTCTTTGAAATGAAAACAGCAAGATCGATAATGGCGGCATGTCATCATTGCTGTGCTGTATAAGTCGCTAAAGGTTTACTGACCCAAATAACATCAAAGCGACGAAACAAAGAAACTTATGTAAGTATTTATCGTTTCGCTCGTTTTTGTTTGTGACTGGCCTTTATTTGTCCGTTCTGCTTTATATATGGCGATGGAGAGCGTGCGCCGTAATGGTCTTGCAGCGCCGATCCAGGCCGCCGGCAAAGTTTTAAGACTCATTTTATGCATTTTCTTCGTTATTTTGCTTATTTTGATGTTTATTTTTATTGATGTCACTCAGGTATCTAACTGGAAAATATTTCTATAATTTTTCACTCACAACTTTATTGTGTCTTTGTTGTTGGATGAAGGTGTGATATGATTCCGTTTTTTTGTGTTTGAATTGGTATTCGCTTGCTAAAACATCAAAATCGGTTCATGAGTATTTTTAGTTTGTCTTCGCCTTGATCTAATGCTTCTTCTTTTTTATTATATTTGTTTCTATATCATCCATTCCATTGCTTTATCACAAATTCCTTTGTTCCTTGTGTAGGTATTTTTGTGTTCATTGTTTCAACCATGTTTTGTTGATGATCCAAAGTGGTTATTTTTGAAATAGCCTACTCCTTTGCTTTTTATTTTAAAAAAGAATCGAGCAAATCTATGTCCTTGATTTGTAAAGAAATTGTCAGCAAATAAAATGGCTGAGGCACCCAGGTTCCTAACAGACTAAATTTTGCTATTTGATTGACATTGTTTTCCATAAAATGCTTAATATTATTTCATTGACAACTTGAGCCTCACAGTCATTTCAGATGAGTAGCATTATTCCAGAGAGATCTTTTTTGTATGGTGAGATCTTGTTCACAAGATATGCTTGCTGAAAGCATCATTTATGTGGTCAGTTGTATTCTGAATTTATTAGAAGCTTAGCTGTTTCAAAGATAATTTATTTTTACAATTCATATTTCCCCCATTTATATTCCAGCTATCTGCCTAAGACAAGGATACCTATATTTTTATGTAATATATGAACTGATTAACTGACATCTTGTACATGTTGTTCAGGATAATTGAAGTTAAGATTGATATTTTCAATTATATAATTTATGCTGCTGCATATTTCATAGTCCTTTGTACTTTGTTTTTGTTTCAAAAATGGAACACAAAGAGTCATCCTGCAATTGAGTACAAGTATTGGCTGTTAGAGGGATAAACTAAGCAAATGCATGAATAGATTGAAATGAATGAATGGTTGATTTAGCTATCTATTAAAGGAAAAGGGCCACCTTTAACATGGGGATTGAAACTGAGATAGCCATCTTGTAGCCCGTGTCCGAAAACCTATCTGTCTACCTCCTTACGGCCGATTTCGGCCTCCATTCGTAGTTATCGGCAATTTTAAAAGAAAATACGCCAGGAATGCGTCCTTATCCCAGGAATGCGTTCTTATCCGACAATACAGCCACCCGCGGCGAGGCTTTGGTTTTTTACCAATCAGCTCCAACCAGCTCAGCTTTAACCAATCAGCTTATCTGACACAATCCGACGAGTCTGTCTTCTGAACGCTGATTGGCTTGAGTGTGGCGTCATCGCTATGCCATCATACAGTAGGTGCCGTAGAGAGTATCAACATAGTACCAATATGTTAAATAGTTTTAAATAATTTTTCGCGAATTGTGCACTTCTGGCACCAGTTTTAAAAAGAAAATGAAAAATAATAATGTCAAAATGAAAAACAACGATATCTTCATATTTCACGAAGGTGGCCCTTTTCCTTTAAAAAAGGGAACAAATATATTTCAAATGTCTGCATAACCTATAGTGTACTTTTTCTGGTTCAACAAAGCTTACTGGAATAATTAGTTGATCCTCCCTTTCATCAGCCTAGCAGTAGCCTTTGCCAAATTTTCTATGTTAATTGTATTTCTAGTAAACATATGTTTTTTTCTTATTTCAGACGCACACAATTACCATCTGACACAGCAAGCATTGAAGACATCTGAGGATTACATTACTTCTTCCTGAGCAACCAGCTGTCTATCACAAGCCTTAAACATCCCTACTTATCTCAGGACGGTTGTGTTTCTGAGTCACGATATATTTTGTGCTACGTCATACTCTGTCCATCTGATCATATCTGAGCGAGCTGATTCCACGGCTGTCTTTTCGTGATACGTGCCTTGCACCCGACTTTGGCGGCCGCGAGTGTCCGCTCCAGTTGGCACCGGCTGTCTGCACTCCTAGTTACACACTCATCATGTCCCACAATCCTCAGTGGAACTCGTTCCAGCCGCCATCCCAGCCCGGCATGAAATCCTACTCCAACTACCACTCGGCCAACAGTGGCTACCACGGCTCCTACCACGGCTCGTCCCACTCGCCGCCGGGACCGCGCTACGGCGGCGGCGGTGGCGGCTCGGCGCACTACGCCAGCCAGACGAGCGACTCGGGAGGCGGCGGCGGCGGCGGCGGCGGTGCCGAGTTCGACATCGGCGTCTTCTCCGTGGGCACCTTCTCGGCCGGCGGCGGCCACAAGAACGGCTATGGTGTCAACGGCTTCCCGGGAAAGGAGGGGAGCCCCAGCCACGCCGGCCACGGCCTCCGCGAGACGGGCATCATCGAGAAACTACTGGTGAGTACGCCCGCTGCGGTCCTGCTAGCTCCGGTGCAGAGTCTGAGTGGTGTGAGGAACTGTGGTTCGTACCTGGTCTGAGTGCTGCACGGGAGGTAGGATAGTTGAAATCGAGTCTGCTGGTAAATGAACTCGCGAGAGTCAGATGCATGCTCCCAATTAGTTACAACCAGATGACGTTTACGATTATTAGCGATTGGTGTCGTTTCCATGCATGTATTGTATTGTAGTACCAAAGGCTTGAATAAGTATTTTCTTCTGTAGCAGCTACAGAAAGCGAGCAATATTAATCACACATTGACATCAAACACAATATGTTCTTAGCTACAGATAACAATCAGACGCTCGGTTTTCTACCAGTGCAAACGTCAGCGTGGTTTGCGGGCCAGCCGACCGTTTCCCTTCCCGCCCATATCGCGCCCGGTTGTGTTGGTACACTCGGGGGCAGATTGATGTTCCACCACTCCCCACCCATCGGGCTCCAATGGCTCCCGCACTGGCTGCTGTCAGTGGCAGGACTGGCAGCACTGGCATCGGCAGGCAGTGCTGAGCAGTGCTGAGGGCAGGCAACACTGGCAGCAGCCACTGCTGATCCATTGGAGCCCGATGGGTAGGGAGTGGTGGAACATCAATCTGCCCCCGAGTGTACGCCCCGACCTTGCTAGCGTGGCTATATCAGGAAAGTGGATCCTTCGGACACGAACGTGGAAGACCGTCACTTGCCGTCATGAAACGCAAGGAATCGGCCAGCTATCTGATTTGTTGAACAATGGTACTATAATGGCCCTCTGCGATTTGCATAATAAGCGCTATAAAATCATGTTTTGCAGTGAAAACTTCACATGTGGTTAATATGCACTTTTCAAATGTGATAATGCGACACTTTTCGCTGAAATTTACTTCATGAAAATTCTTCGAAAAGGCTCAAAGTTGGGTTTATGCGCCGTTTCTTGCGACAGATCAATCCTACGAGTCGATCCACGTTAGAATCAGTCTTTAACCCGCGCCCTGCTGGGGGTCCTGGATTTCCACGCCCTGCTGGGGGGGGGGGGGGGGTGTTTGAACACCCCCCCCCCCCCCCTTCTAACTCGGCTCCTGGGCCACGTAGCGATACGCGGAAGGCGGCGTTCGAAAGAGCGTCAAAAATAATGACGAAATCACTTCGGTCAATTTTTTGGTCAGGTCAAAGGTCAGGTCACCAGAGGTCATTGAAGGCAAAATTTCGCCGATTTCCAGGTCGAATGTCGAAAATTTCCAAGAAGCCAACGCATAACTCGGGAACCAATAGAGCTACAGCGCCGCGGAAAAGTGCATTCGATAGCCCTTTTAACGCCCTTTTTGAGTAATTCTCTCAGATTTGACCTAACGTCAACGGTTTTGCCTGCAGGGGGCAAAAACTGCAAAAATAGCCGACTTTTTCGGAAACAGTTTTTCTGCAATAACTTTTGACCAAAGCCTTGTACGAGCTTACTTTCACCGGCATCGTGTTCCTCTCGTCAAGACGCATCGAATGAACTATAACTTGACCTTGAAAGGTCAACTTGAAAATTTGACCTCAGGTCAAGGTCATGACCTGACCGGAAAGGGTCATGTTGCATATCAGTCGATCCGTATCGTCGAGCTGAACACAAATAAGGCATTTTCATCGCTCTAGCATGCCTCTATCAAAAGTTATTTGCGAAAAACTGTTAGTTACCATTCGTGACCTAAGATGACCTCAGGGCATAAACAAGGGTCACGGACACCATTTTCATGTTCAGTGTGTCTAAAACACTTGTAATTCGGTGTTTGGGAGTGTTTATAATGTCTTTCGTCCAAAAGAGACGCATTTCATTTTTCTCCCATTAACTTATAATGGGGAGGTCGCAAAATTGACCTGACCTTAGGTCATCGATATCAAAATTCTGAGATATACATTTTGTACATGCTATTGCTCTTAGCAATCGCTGAAGTTTCAAAGCGATCGGTCACTCGGTGTAGCTATGACAGACATTGAAACTTTTTATGAGGTCAGGTCACTTCAAGTGACCTGGTGACCTGACCTTGAATGACCTTGGTCTGAAATTTTTACAACATGTGTAGAATTGATGTATGATAAGGTGTACCAAAAACGGCGGCGCTCCGCGCCGCCGTTTTTGAGATATTCGCGAAAAACCACAAAGGGGGGTGTTCAAACACCCCCCCCCCCCCCAGCAGGGCGCGGGTTAAGATGATGCTTCCGTTCCACTTGCCCTTTTGTAGTAATCCATACCGCTCACTCCTTCCGTCTGTGTGGGCCGCTGCCAGACGGTGCGGCGCCGGTCCGTCGGCCGCCCACCTGACGTGACTCCGCGCCGGGAGGGAGAGAGGGGGGAGGTCGGTGACCGCGCGACGCCGACGACCACAAAGAATGCGCCGCCGCGCCGCCGTATTGCGTAACCGTGTTTTGCAACAGGACCGGCGGTGCGTCCGTGGACCGTAAACGGGAATCCAAACCGGCGGGGGCGGTCCGCGTGCCGCGGCTGGACGTGAGGTAGGCGGGCGGAGCGGACGTCTGACCGGCGCCGGCAGTCGCTGGTGTAAATGTGTCAGAGCCGGCCTCACAGAGATATTCCCGTGCAGCGATGGATTATATGCGGTGTGGTGAAACACGTATTTGGTGGTTGCATGCCGGTAAGGAAAGTATGACATAACAAGCGGAAATTGCGGTCGCTGAGATCATTTGACAGCTCCGTGGCATAATTAGGTCAGCGAGCAAACACGCCGCCCCGCTTTGATATGTGTCGGTGCACCGCGGCGCTGTCACCGAAAGGGGAATGTTCAACACGTAACGTGAGAATCATCACCAGACTTGCGGTTGTACGGTAGTTTGCTACGATATCCCAATTCCCACATCGTGGTATCTTCGTTACCGAAGGAGACGGAGTTTTATTTGACATCCGATATGGTTATTTACACTCCATTTACACTAAATAATGACCACATTGCTGACGGCTCCGCCCTAGCGCGGCACATTCTCGCTGACACATGCTCGACAGTGAGCTCCGCCGCAGGCCGACGGCCGTCTAGACAAGGGGGCGGATCAACTGAGGAATCGCCGCACATTAGTCACGTATTGATTTTTCGTCGGCCGGTCTCGCGGGCGCTTTGTCCGCCGGCCTGTCGGGCGCTCCGGGTGTATTTATGTCGACCGGATGCCGGTGTTTCGGTCCGCGACACTCGCTGTTCCACTTCTGACGATGATCCACGCTGCTGCTGAGTAGCTGTGTTCCGACTTCGCCACAACGGAATCGTTGTGTTCCTCTGATTTTCCACCCACACTGCATCTGAGTGACGATGTTCCAACCCACTCCTTAGTCGGACTCCTTAGACCTCCCCCCCCCCCCGTTTTCTGGCCCGTCCCTCCCCCCCCCCCCCGGTCCCTCCGACTCCGCCTGACCGTCGTCTGTACGCCGTTCCAGCACTCGTACGGTTTCATCCAGTGCTGCGACAGACAGGCCCGGCTGTTCTTCCACTTCAGCCAGTTCGACGGCACCATCGAGCACCTGCGCGTCGGAGACCCTGTCGAGTTCGAGATGACCTACGACAAGCGCACCGGCAAGCCCATCGCCTCGTCCGTCTCCAAGATCACACCGGAGGTGGTACGTATATAAATAGTAACGCTGTACGGTGGCCGAGTCTTAAGTCTTGTGCACTTGCGTGGAGGCTGTGATTCCGCGTCATTTTGTGATCATCATGCTCCGTGAAGACTTCGTCGTATGATGTCAAAAATAACGATCGTCTCGAATAAAGTTTGTTGCTTACGATGCCGACCGTACCTAATAAATCTTCGGTCGTCAGGTACAGTCAGATTAACCTCATCGATCGAACACTTTCAGCTGCTTATCGTAGTTACACATTATCCAATATTTCACCCCCCCCCCCCGGTACAGACGCCCCAGGTGCTGAGCGAAGAGCGCGTCACGGGCACGGTGACCACGGAGCTGACTCCCCTCCCTCCCCTCCCCCGCCCCCACAGACGCCCCAGGTGCTGAGCGAGGAGCGTGTCACGGGCACGGAGCTGACCCCCTCCCCCCCCCCCCCCCCCCAGACGCCCCAGGTGTTGAGCGAGGAGCGCGTCACGGGCACGGTGACCACGGAGCTGACCCCCTCCCAACCCCCCCCCCCCCCTCCACAGACGCCCCAGGTGCTGAGCGAGGAGCGTGTCACGGGCACGGAGCTGACCCCCTCCCCCCCCCAGACGCCCCAGGTGCTGAGAGAGGAGCGCGTCACGGGCACGGTGACCACGGAGCTGACCCCCTCCCTCCCCTCCCCCGTCCCCACAGACGCCCCAGGTGCTGAGCGAGGAGCGCGTCACGGGCACGGAGCTGACTCCTTCCCCCCGGCTTCCCCCCCCCCCCCCTCCACAGACGCCCCAGGTGCTGAGCGAGGAGCGCGTCACGGGCACGGTGACCACGGAGCTGACGGCCGGCGCGCCCGCTCAGCACGGCCGCATCAGCTACGAGAACCGCGGCGAGTGCTTCTTCCTTCCGTACGACCAGGAGGACATCGAGGGCAATGTGACGCTGCGCGTCGGCGACCTGGTCAGCTTCCAGATGGCCACCAACCCGAGGTCAGTGGCGGATGGCCGTGGGGACACGCAGGGAGAGCTGGGGTGGAGTGGGTGACTCGGTGGGTGATAGGATGGGAAGGGGGAAGGATTTTAGACGTGTAAAATGTCTGTGCTAGCAGAGAGAGCCCGTGGAAACATTTGGTACAGACGCACTGATGTCAGTTATAGCTGTTGGGTTGTGTTTTTACGCTTTTTGAGTCATGGAAAGGGCTGAAATTGAACTGAATCTCTCAAGGAGTGTTGGGTATAATTACTAAGTGCAAACCCTCCGAGATGACGGCATCCTGAATCCCTTTTCAATCCTGATCCGTTTCTAAGGCTCCTTCCCATCCCAGTTCAAATATTATTGTGAGTCTAAACCACCTTTTGAAGTCTGCTATTTTTCTCAGTCCCTAACAAGTTAGTGGTGTTCATTATACTGCTGAGCCGGGTACGGTGCTCTAGAAATCTTAGTAGCAGTTTCAAATTCCTATCTCCTCCGGTATGAGGTCCGTAGTAGTGCTGGCTCGTGTTTGGGGCTTGCCAGCTGTCAGTTCGTTTATGAGAGTTATAAACAAATAACGCTAAGGCAAGCATGCGTTACTGAAAGCCGCGGTATCATTGATGTGTTGCAACTACGACGCAATATCGGTACGAACAGAAGCATTATCAGCATTTCGTCGAAGAGAACTATCGCTTGGCAATCACTTTATTTAATAATTTTTCCTCCCAGCTGGCACCTATCAATGCGCAACGCTGCCGTCATTCTGTTGTCTTCCGTGTCTCCCGTGATGGTGATTCCCTTGTCACCCGTGTCTCACTCACTCACCTTCCCGTCAGTCGTGTCTCACCGAGCCATATCTCGGCAGCTGCCGCTAACCGTGTCCGGCGGTAGCGCGGCGACCGTGACTCCCCTCCTCCCCCCCCCCGACCGGTGCGGTCAGCTGCGCCGTCTGTCTGTTTATGTGGGACGGTCGGCCGCCGCCATCCAGCTCCCGACTCCCCTTGCTCAGCGTTCGATCGGTGTGACTGTATGACGGGGAGGTCCGGAGTGCTGGGGTGGGGACATCCGAGGGGGAGGAGGGGGGAGGTGGCCGCGTGCGGTTGTTTACAGGACGCACCAGGAGGGTAGGAGGTGACGCTTTGAACGTGATTCGCCTGTTTGTGAAGCTGAGTTTGAGGAGAGTTTAGGTTTGAGTGCGGCGAATGGTGACTAGTTTGTATGACGTTTCACGTCTCCTATAGCTTTTCTTTTACGAGCCTCATAAAGTCAGTATCTTGCTAAGGTTGATCCTTCGTTCACCTGGCAATAAAACTCACTAAAGCGCCAGCAACGAATCAACTTCTGTCATTCCGATTTCAGCCCGACACCTACCTGTCTGACCACCGTCTTCCCCCGCCTGTTCTTCCCACAGAACGGGTAACCTGGCGGCGCGCTGCGTGCGTCTGGAGAACCCGGCCAACCCGATCCACTACCAGGGTATGGTGTGCTCGCTGCAGCCCGACGAGCGCAGCGGCTTCATCGAGCGCGCCGACGTGGTGCGAGAGATCGTGTTCAGCAGCGACAGCGTGCAGGGCGACCGGCCCATCACGCTGGGTGATGAGGTCGAGTTCACCATCCAGACGGTCCAGGTGGGTCGTGGCCCGTGGGGATGGGCGGAGGGGAGGGGGAGGTGACTGGGGCGTAATGGATAAGAGAAGGATCATATCCAGGCCTGATACCGTTGGATATCGGTAATGTGGTGTTAGAGCTACTGTTAACGCCAGACCCCTTGAGACCCTAATTTTTCGCGATTATTTTTAAATGCGTGGAGGAATTTCAACCAAGCTCAGAACATGGCCGTTTCAAGACAGGCCGAAACTTTTACAATTTAGATATTTTATCGCCATTTCAATATTTCAGGCACTTGTCATTGACTCGTAATGTTAACTGTTCTTCCATCCTGGATAGAGGCTTTCTACGTCATATGACATTAGGCTCCGCCCACGACTGCGGCATTGACCCGTGCCCATCAGCGACCTCTGTACAAACGACACCCCTGCCATCTGTGAAGGACTATGAATTTCGCTGACGCTTCACGTGCTATGAGTCAATTGCAGCAGACGGTCAAGTAAATGTTAGGCTCTTGTTGACTCTTGTATGTATATAGGACCAAGAGGACCATCACTCCTCAACCTACTACTCAGTCGTGCTTCGAACAAACGTTAACGATTCCTAACAAATACGATTTTCGATGTAGGGTATCTGTTTGAAATACGAGCGAGCCGTATGATGTGAAGCTCAGGCAATTAACTTATTATTGCGTTGTTCGATGGTTGCATAGCGATGTACAAATCGGCAGCTACTTGGTGACATCCGACATCCCATTATCGCATTATCTGCAACGCCATAGGCTTTAAATACAGGTGAATATTTCCTAACCTTATGTCAGTTATATGCCATCTGCCCGTCATATGCAGCTTATATATATAAAAAAATATCAGCGAACATATCAGCATTGTAGAAGCAATGCGCATTGAGCATTTATGACTCCTTAGTCATCATGTCGCTCTCTGGGCACTGTCAGCCAAGACGCTACGCACAACTCCGCCGGCTTTCGGCACCGCTCGACCGTCGCCCGTCCCCGCTCCCCGCCACAGCGAGAGTGACCGCGCGCCGGCCCGAAACCGCCGCAGGCCAAGACCACAGAGGCGGGGCTTAGCTGTGACGTCATAACGTATCACAGACTGACTGGTGATAGCCTCTACACACCGGATGAAAATCTTGCTCGAAATTTAACATTACGAGTCAATGACAAGTGCCTGAAATATTGAAATGGCGATAAAATATCTAAATTGTAAAAGTTTCGGCCTGTCTTGAAACGGCCATGTCCTGAGCTTGGTTGAAATTCCTTCACGCATTTAAAAGTAATCGCGAAAAATTAGGGTCTCAAGGGGTCTGGCGTTAACAGTAGTGTGGTTGCTACTTACTTACTCATACACTTATCTTTGTCTGATAAACACAAAGGTCATCTCGATATCTGACGATGAGGTGGCTGAGACGTTCCTCGTCCATATTATTTTCATTTAGATCATACGAGTAAATTGTTGAGCTAAGCCACATTCCACGCCACGTCTGACAATTTTCCCTCGTTTAACCGCTGTGTACAGATGACCATGGCGTTGACAAGTCGCCGTTCCACACAGGGTAAGGAGGTGGCCACCAACATCGTCCACCTGGAGGCCGGCACCGTCGTCTTCGAGGACGTCGACCCCACCGACGTCAAGGGACAGGTGCTGAAGGCGCTGGATGAGGTCGGAGATACCAATGTGAGTGAGAAGGCCGGAGGGGAAGGAATGCGCTGGGGTCTTTTGGAATTTGTTTTGAGCTGGTCTGGACGAGACAGTTAAGCCGTTTGACGTTCTATTTTGTGCAGATGTAAAATATGTCTCGGCTTTGTGTTTGAAGTCTGTTCGCCCTCAAATCCAATTTATATGCGTTCAGAAGCTTGTGTTAGGCTATGCCTGTCTGTGTGTGCAGTGTGAGTTGTTATTTCATAACGTGTTGCTGCTTGTGCGGTTCAGTGGTCTTTGTGGTCATTTTTTTATCAGCTTGTCATGATTGTCTTGCTGAGTGGAACAGCTCAAATGCTTATCAGAAGCTGCTCAGTATGCGGCTCCCACTCCAGGTGCTTTCCCTGCCAAGTGGCTGTTTTCAGTCGCCCGGCAGCGTGCGGGCGTGCCGCCGTGCGTGATTGCCGCTACTAACTCCTCCCTCCCACCCTCCCCCTCCCCTTTAGGACCCGATGCCGGGCCGTATTCGGTACCGTGTCAAGGACACCTCGGAGGTGCAGGAGGTGCCGTTCGGCGAGCGCGACCTCAAGGGCAGCTTCACGCTGCGCCACGGCGACTGGGTGCAGTTCAACGTGGCCACCGACCGGCGCGACAAGCTGCAGCGTGCCACCGGCGTCTCGCTGCTCGACCAGTCGTTCCTCGTCTCCGGCGAGAAGCGCGAGCACGGCGTGCTGCTCTCGGTGAAGGAGCACAGCTACGGCTTCATCCGCTGCGTTGAGCGCGACCAGAACCTGTTCTTCCACCTGTCGGAGATGGTGGACCCCGAGCGCGGTCTGCAGAACAAGGACGAGGTCGAGTTCACCGTGGTGCCCGACCCCAAGATCCCCTCGCGCCAGACGGCCATCCGCATCCTGCGCCTGCCGCCCGGCACCGTGCGCTTCGAGACGGTGGTGCAGGCCGGTCTGACGGGCACCGTCACTCGCGAGCCCTCCTCCAAGTTCTCGCGCTCGCCGGGCCGCGCGGCGGCCGCCAATGGCAGCGGAGACAAGTCCAACGAGACGGGTCTGATCACGTACGAGCTGGACGGCGCCACGGCCACGGTGACGTTCAGCCACACGGCGACCGACCCGCGCCACAGCCCGCGCCACGGCGACACGGTCCGGTTCAGCCTGATGCAGTCGCGCCGCACCAAGGAGCTGTGGGCCGCCGAGGTGGCCGTCACACAGCGCGCCGAGCGGCCCGAGAGAGCCGAGCGGGCCGAGCGGCCGGCCCGCGAGCCGCGCGACGCCGCCCTCGAGCCCGGCTCCATCCACCAGGGATACGTGACGGCGCTCAAAGACAGCTACGGCTTCATCGAGACGCTGCAGCACGACAGAGAGATCTTCTTCCACTACAGGTGAGACCTGCAGCCGACTGTCTGCAGCTTGGTGCTCTGATTGGCAGCCTGATTCTGATGCTGACGAACTACGAAGTTGTCGATTATATAATCTGGTAGGTAATCAGCTCGAATCCCATGCATGTTTTACGTCTGGCAATGACTGGGAGTACAATTATGTTTTATTCCGTTTGCATCTTTCCTTACACGGTTTTCCTAGTACTCGTTTTTATGTACTGCAAAGTGTTGAACACGCTGTGATTCCCCGGCTAGACGTATCGTCATCCGTGTGTTGTCAGTGGCGCCACCTCCGCGCTTAATTCGCGGCCTTGCGTACTGCGTCGAAGGCTGGAAATACCCGTCCGGCTGGCCCGCCGCCAGTCGGGGTCAGAGTGGCGGTGACAAATAGCCATACTAGTCTCTGCACCGCCGGCGAGTGACGTCACGTTGAACGTGCGGCGCTCTGGAATCATTGCCAGAGTGGACCTTATCTGTCACACTTGTCGCTGCACTGGTGGCACGTGTGATGGTGTTGGACTCCCTGCCAGCAGCGCTAAACGGCAGCTCATGAAGAATGAACGTTCGGCTATTGACCTTTCCCCTCCCTGGCAGTAGGATTTAGGTACTAGCCCTGAGAAGTCAAACTCTACCTGATAAGCTCGGTCCGCTGAGCCTTGCTCTCTCCTCGCCGACAGTAGTACTCGTATTTACCCCCTCTACCTGGTGACCTCCGTCCGCTGACTATTCCCTTCCCCCCCCCCCCTCTCGCCGCCGTCAGTATGCTGCGCGGTGACTCGGTGACCTCCGTCCGCTGACCACCCCTGTCCCCTCTCGCCGCCGGCAGTATGCTGCGCGGTGACCCGGAGAAGATCCAGCTGGGTGACGAGGTACAGTACACGCTGAGCCGACCGGGCAGCCAGGGCCGCGTCTCGGCCGAGAACGTGACGCCGCTGCCGGCAGGCACGCTCTCCAAGCCAGCCGTGCTGCCCGAGGTGCTGGATGGCATTGTGCTGCGTCCGCTGCGCAGCTCCGACCCTGACCAGCCGCTCTACGCCGGCCTGGTGCAGGCCAACACCACAGGTCAGTAATGGTGGGGATATAGGGTACTGGAAGGGGTACCAGGCCAACACCACAGGTCAATAAAAGGCCGAGTCATAGAGCACATCAGGCCAATGACACCGCAGCTCAATTGGTGGGGATACAGCTAATTACAGGTCAGTGTACTGAAACGGCTACCAGGCCAACACCACAGGTCATGTTCACACACACACACACACACACAATGTTTATTAAGGAACCAAACATACATAAGAAATAAAGCATAATCAATGAAACATACAGTACAATAATTAACAACATAAGCGTGATAGCAGAGTGGTGCAAAAGCGCAATCGCTTGACTCGATGCACCACTCTGAAACATAAGATAAAACATGTGAAACAACCAAAACAGGCGTTGGTTGTTGTGGGAAAACAGGCGACAAGCCAGTGTACTTAAACGGCTACAAGGTCAACATCAGTTGATAAAAACACAAGCGCTAGGTCATTGTGCCGCAGCTGCTACAGACACCGTTGGCCAGCACCACAGGCTTGTTAGCGGGGCTCCAATGTACTGAACCGGACACCAGATCAACGCCACAGGCTAGTTATGACGCTGACATACGAGATATTCCAGTTGAACGTGATACCTGCGTATTGGCTCGAAATTGCTTGTCAGTATCGACCTGCCCATGCCACCCGTCTAACGGCACCCGTCCTCTCCCGCCGCTGCCACAGAGGAGGTCGGCCAGGCGTACGAGTTCGGCATCACGTCGCTGGCCAACAAGAAGGACTACCTGCAGGTGGGCGACTCGGTCACCTTCCAGGTGGAGGAGGGCGGCCAGCGCGCCACCAACATCAAGATCCAGCGCAAACGCTACCGCGCCACCGTCGACGCATTCAAGAGTGAGTGGGGATGGCTGATGGTTGAGGGAGAAGAAGGGATACACGGTCAGGGTGGGATTTATGAAGAGCAAATGGCTGCACGTCGAAGGAAAGCTTCAAAGGCCAGAGGGTCAGGGCTTCAACAAAGTACAACTTCTTTTTCATGGAAGCTTTTTGTGGATTTTTAACTTTGAATGTGTCTATTGCCAGGTCAACTTTTTCGAGCTTTAGCAAAGCTTTTTTAATTATGTAAATTGCAGCCGGATGTACGTGACTACCACACATTTGCAGCTCATGCCCGGCCTTTCTGCCCTCACTGCCCAGTGCCCACTGCCTGTTCATATGACTGACCCGCCCGTGCCGCCGCCCACAGACCAGTACGGCTTCCTGTCGTACGAGCACGAGGCCGGCAAGAAGCTGTTCTTCCACGTGAGCGAGGTGAAGGACGGCGTGGCTCTGCGCGAGGGTGACGAGGTGGAGTTCTCAGTGGTGACCTCCCACCGGTCGGGCAAATCGTCCGCCTGCCAGGTGGTGCGCATCAGGTTAGTGAGACTGAGAGGGGAGACTCATTAGAGAGTTGGGGAGAGGAGGGAGGGCGCTGGTCAGAGCCTGGTCGGCGGTCATGTTAGGTGTGACAGAATCAGGAACAGCATCGGGGGGAGGGAGGGGGGCATGATAGACTTCTCATGGAAGGTTAACACGCGCAGTGGAAGGGTTGCGAGTACTACGCCCAGTGGAAGGGGGGGGGGGCGGATGTCGCCCCCCCCCAAAGATCTCAGCTCCCACTGGAGCTAGAAAGACGAAATTTGGAGGGTAGGTGAGGGCCATGGGGAACTCTGTTGTGTGTGAATTTCATGACCCTAGGTCAATATCTTCAAGGTCAAATGAGGTCAAATGTGGTCAAATCTGCCATATTAGCGACTTTTTGCGTTTACACGCCGATAACTCAAAAAGTTACCGGCCGATTTTTTTAATCTTTCACTATACGAAAGAGCAAACATTTGTGAGTATGTATGGTGAATTTCTAGATAATCCAACAATAAATATGGCAGTTAGAAGCCTGTGAAGGGTAAGATGTCGCCGGCTGAGGCGGCATCGGCCGACGCGGGAAACGCGGCAATCACAATTTTGTGTTTACACACTCATAACTCAAGTTGTTACCGGCCGATTTTCAAAATTCTTTGACCATATGATTGCCTGTACATTTCTCAGTCTTCTCACCGAATTTGACGCGAATCTAATATAATCAGCGGTAAGGAGCGCGATGTAAAGACGGAATCGTCCCGCCCCGGCACAGTCTACAATTCAGGCGGCGCGTAACGGCTAGCGCCGGCCGCCGCGCCGCCGCATGTTTGACTTTACACCGCTATTACCAGAAAAGTTGTGAACCGATTTTCTTACTTCTTGCACGAGAAGATCCGCAATTCAATTCTGGACAGGTAGCCGAAATTTCACATTGATATTATGCTTGCGGCGCGAGTTATTGGCGAAAAACAGGAGGGGTGGGCGAAATCCGCCCCCCCCCCCTTCCACTGCGCGTGTTAAGATATTTAATTGTCGATATTGGTTATGATGAAAATATTGGAAAGCAGAATGGGCTATTTCGTTTTCCCAGTAGATCGTGGTGTAAGTGATTATTTCGTTACGCCGATAAGTGTTGGTACAATTTTGTTTTTGTTTCCAGTGTTTTCCAGTGCTGACGTGGGTTTGGTCCCTGGCAATCAGTATAGGTAAATAACTGTTTGTTGTGGCCGGAGAAACTCGCTTTTCTCTTTAAGGTAGTTCCCTAGTCCAACCATTGACTGTGTGATGCGGTAGTGACTGAGTGGTTGTTCTTGTGTGTTCAGCAGCGCGGCTGAGGAGAAGAAGCGACACAACTCGTTCACGTCGCAGACGGAGCGGCCCGACCGCGTCATCCAGCGTATTCGCACGATGGCGCTCAACGACCAGCGGCGGCCGCGCCAGGTACAGATCGTGCGTCAGCCGCGCGGGCCCGACCAGGACGGCGGGCGCGGCTTCAGCGCGCGCCGTCCGGCCGCCTGAGTCGCCGCCGAGCCCCGACCGGCCGCCGCCGCCCGCCGCCTCTGCCGCCGCCGCCGCCGCCGCCGCCGCCCACTCCCACACAGCGTGCCTAGATTCTGGTCTCAAACACAAACAGTGCTTTCCTGACTGTGATGTTTGGGGGCGTTTGTAAGTTTGAGCAATATGCGAGGATGGGCGGGCTGGGCGAGCGGGGCCGACCGAGCGCGCTGCCGGGCGTCGCCCGCGCCCCCTCTCAGTCACTGTGAGACCAGCGAGGTCGCCGCGTGGCCGGGCCGGTCCTGCCAGGCGGGACCGGCCCGGGGACCGCGCCGCACTCGACTCGCGCGCCCGCGAACTCACACGGACAGAGTGGACAGATGATGGACTTTGACAGACACACTGACAGTCGCATTGACTTTTGACGCGCGCGAACTCTATATCCCCTCCGGCCGCGCGCCGGCGAGCCAGCGGCGCGCGGCTGTGACCGGGCCGAGGGCCGACTCCGCGCAGCCGCCGCCGCCGCCCGCCGCGCCGCCGCCGGCGGTTTAAGTTTGTATTGTTTGTCTTCCATGTGGCCAGCCGCGGCGCCCACAGTGCGTCGGCCAACGAGACGCCTCTCTTTTATACGAAATCCTCTGGTACAAGATTCTGTGATATTTTGCCGTCGCCGCCGCCGCCGCCGCCGGCTGGGTGTCGGGTCAGCCGCTCGCAGCCGGGGGGCGGCGCGCGCGCGCGACCCCGGCCGACGCTCGGCACCAGTCGGCCGCCGCAGACGGACAGAGACGAACACACACACATACACACACTCAGACACACACACAGCAGAGAGGCAGAGTATCGCAGTCTCGGGTCCCAGGCGAGCTTAGGTTGCTGAGCGGCTGTAGCCGATTCTGTTGCGTTGGGCATTGCGGCCGCTGCTGAATAATGTCTGAAATTCCCCGGCTCGCCGCGGCCGCCGGGCCGTACGGCGGCGAGCAGTATGTTTTGTTGGCCGTCGGCGGCGCGGTCGGTGGCGGAGGTGACACAGCGGGACGGCTGCGTCCGACGCCGCCGACCAGCCCGCCACGGCCGGCGACGCCGCCGCGCAGCCGCGCACCACTGTGATTACGTTGCTTCTAATGTAGAACTTTAAAAACTATTCCAAAGACAGAGAAGTCCGAGCCGACCGCCGTCAGCGTTTCGCTGCGCGGCGGCCGGCCGCCGGCGCGGCGCCCCGCCGGCCCGGCCACCTGTGTGCGCGTGAGCGCGCGCCCGCAACCGCCACCTGGCGCGCCCCAATACTCGAGGGAACAAGAACAATATCGACACAGTCCCGGCTGCGGACGGCCGGCGGGCGGAGCCGGGCCGCCGCCGCCGCCGGCCGGCCGTCCCCCCATCTGTATCTCCTCTACTTCTCACTGTCGTCTGCCTATCCAGCACGGAAATTGGCCAGGTGCCCGCCGCCCGGCGGCAGTCGGCGTCCGGTAGGGCCGAGCCGGCCCGCCGCCAGTCGTGGCTGAGCCGTTTCGTGTCAAAGAAAATGCAAAAAAATGAACTGTTTGTTTGGTAATTTGTAACCTCAAGTCTGAACGAATAAAGCTACTAAAATCCTCACGTGTTTGTGTTTTGACCGTGTTTGGTGGATGAAGTGAGGCTCTGGGGCGCGCTCACTAATGTTGGCCTTGTTCCTAATAGCACAGTTTTGCTCGTACCGCAAAGGCTCGTACCCGTGTTTGATTGTTGCCGAGACGCTTTATGGGCTGTCGCCGGGACGATTTTCTAGATACCTACATATGTATGCAACGAACGATAGGTGACGTGAACATAGACGTGTCTCCTCGCGTGACCATGAACACGTCATTTCCCTGCTTCGTAAGATTTGACTTAAAAAAGTTTGGATGTGAAGGCGGAGCGGTAGGCGCGGGTGCTCCAGTAATCAGTCAAGCATCAACCGCATCAACCATCAAGTTGTCTTATCGCGAGATAAAATGACCGATTAGGACCGAGCTCGCCCACATCATTGGACTAACTGCTAACCGTGAGTGGGCCCGTCAAATAGGATAAATCTTTGAATAGGCATAGGCCAGGCCCAGGGGCATGTCACAGGCCCGAGAGGCCTCGGACTTCCGAGCTTCAGCTGGAACGTTTAGGAAAGGGGGCCCGGCCTTGTGGGCGCCCTTACTGCACTATGGGGGAAATTGATTTTACTAGCATCATCTCTTCAAATATTTTACTCTCATTAGCTTTCGGAATAGCCATTGTCATTTTATCCATTTTCCTCGATATTTCTTTTACACATTTTTTAGTTATTTCCAAGAAATTTCCGTACTTTTTGAAAAATCATTTCAAAACTAAACGTATGTATTTGTCAGGGCGTTTCATATGTGGCGCAGAGGAAATGCACATTGTCGACGGCGTATCGCGCGCCTTATGGCCGAATGCTAACGTGAATTTCTCGCGGATAAACTGAAAGCCCAAAGTCAAAGCACAACGAGGAATCAGCATTAGTCGGTGAGGGGCCAGGCTGGGTGGCGGTTGTCGATTTTCAGACCAAGGGATGCATGTGATGGGCGTAATTGCGGCTGCAGTTCTGTGCAACTTTTTCAGGATGTTTTTGGTATGTTATTAAGTGAAAATTGAATGTATTTGAGCTGTGTTGTACTGTCCAATATGAATTTAGGACCAATGAGATAAATGTTGGATTGTGTATAATAATTGTGGTGCGAGTTTCATGATTTTGCTTCTATAGTGTGCCTTGTTTTACGCTGTATGTACCGAATGTCGATCAAAAGATCTGCGAGCATGCCTCTGTAATATGCAAGCATAATAGATAGGCACATGGAAAATAGATATAGCATTATCAAGAAGACTGCTTGTAATTGTCATCTTTCATCAATTTTTCATTGGAGTTGAAAATTTACAATGTCTGATACATCTCAATTTGTTTTGAACTGATAGCATTGCTGCTTATTATTAGAATATGGATCAATTTGTGTTTGCTCTGGCTCTTCTTCTGCATGTCATTCAATGATCAATCATTATTTGAATGCACTTTGGCTATAAGTTATTTGCCCAACCACCATATGATTTCATTGAAAGTGCTACTGTTAAATGTTAGGTGACCTCATCTGTCACATGACAAAGAGTGGTGCCAAAATTACCTAACTACAGAGTGCCATGAAATATTGTATAATGATGATAGTTATCGAGTCTATGAATGCTTCAATGTAATTGGATAGGCAATTCATTTTAGTTATTTCTAACAAGATTATCTCTTTTCTTCCATTTCTTGTTATTTTCAGGGCTTTAGTTAGAAAGTAATTACCCATGAAATCATTGATGGCAAAAGGTTTTCAAATAAGACATGAGTTCATTTTTGGATGATAATACTGAGGTTTTACTGTCTCATTTCACATTTTTTGACAGCAGAGAGATGTTAAGAGGCCCCAATAGGGTTGCACAGGTAACAATTGCAATAGATTTCAAACAGTGGTCATGGTGCATTGCCTGCTCATTTTTATCATTATCTCTTAAGTTATCCTTCAAGCTCATTATCAACTGAAATGTCTAAAACATTTAAAGAGGCAGGTAATTGCTTTCATTAGGAAAAACCCCAATGAATTTCTGTAAGCCAGAGGAAAATCATACCTATTTATCTATTTCAGATTTTTGGTCCACGCCATGGATGGCCAGGACCGAACAATTTCTGGCTATGGCGCTCAAGATGGTAAGTTAATAGCAGTGATCCATCACAGGGCCAGTGTTCACCTTCAGAGCCATAACTGCTTTTCCTCAATTGCCATACAGCATGTATATTGAATTCATTCTGCAAATTCATGCAAAAGTTCTGTGAGCGTTTTGGATTAATCCTGTACCCTAATTGTTCACATCATTTTAAGTTTTCTGTTACCTATCCCTTTTCATACACGCTGAGAATAATCCTTGATGTACTGCCTTGCCAGGTCTGAGCGATGATGATGAGGATGACTCCCTAGATGAAGAGGAAGATTATGATGATGATGATGATGACCTGCTTGATCCACAAGACATGGACATGGTCGACGGTGTCGGCGATCGAGTCCGTAACTCAGCAGCTGGGCCGGGAGATTCTGGCGACAGTTCCAGCGATGAAGAGAGCAGGCCAGAGCGCACAAAGGACAGAGCCAAAGGTCGGGGCGGTCTCGGCGGCCGGGGAGACGAAGACGCCGGTCTATCAGACGAGGAGGAGAGCGATTTCATGGACGACGGACTGCGCGGTGCCCCGGGTGAAGACGATCCGATGGATGACCTGGACGAGCCGGATGACGACCTCGATGAGCCGGATGACGGGTCGGGTGACGCGGAGAGCGGTGACGCTGCGGACGGCGGCGACTCGAGCAGTGAGGAGGGGCCGGAGCGGCGCGGGCCGCCGCCGCCGGAGAACAGCTCGGCGCTGGACCAGCGCGCCGCCGGCCTGTCGCGCGAGCTGTTCCGCGGCTACCGGCTGCTCAAGGAGCTGATGGCGCCCGCCAACCACCCGCACAACCGGCCCTTCATGGACGCCGTCGACTCCAGTCAGAAGGAGCTCTGGGACTACGAGTCCATCGTGAAGAAACCAGTCTGGCTGAAGTTGATCCGCGATCGGCTGCTCTCGGGCGAGTACAGCTCGCTGAAGGATCTGTTCTCCGACCTGCGGCTCATGTTCCGCAACTGTTACCGCTACAACGGGCCGCAGCACGCAGTGACACGGCGCGCGCTGCGGCTAGAGCAGCTGATGGAGCAGCTCATCGACCAGATGGAGCCCGACCTGCGCGCTCAGTGCACCCTGGAGGCCACCGAAGGGCCGGAGGCGGTCGTCGACCAGGCCATCGTCAACCGGAGACGCTCGGCCAGGGCCAAAAAACGTGAGTACCGCCGGGGAGCAGGCTCTGTACGGAATGTGTATGTTTTTACAGAGTCCCAGTCCTCCGATTTTATGAAAAGATAAACAAAGGCTTCAAGCCTATTAATGTACTGAATATGACGATAAAATGCTTATAGTTTGTGATTGTTCATTATTTTGTATGCGCTTTTTTTGCCGGGATGCGTAGGCATGTTGCCTTTTCCCTGAGCAATGTATTAGGTATCGCATTTGATTGCTGGCAGGTTTCTTGTGTGCTGGCTGAACAAAGTTGAGATGTATTGTGCCCAAATGGTGTGATTTTACCATCTCATGTTTATCAATCACTTATTTGCAACATCTACCTCTTCCGTCCGCCATATCCGCAATATCCGCCGCTTCATTCGTTTTGTGGCTCCGGGCAATGAGATATGCGTGTGCTGCAGTTATTGTTTGTGTTTTATTTGTTTCTCTAGCATTTATTCACAAATTACCGACCACTAGCTTGTACCTTAATCGGTAGGTAACTCTCATTGGCTTACTTCAACACATTGGCGGTGTTTCACGGGACGCTGCTACCACGCTGCTATCAAATTGCTCGAGCTGACGTCACACTTGTGGTAGTGTTGGAGCAATGGGCCTGTTGATGTTTCCATGGAAACCCAATTTGACACGTGTAAAAGCAGCGTGCTGCTATCACCGGTGAAACAGGGCCATTGTGTCCGACATCGTCGTTTTTTTTTTTTTTGTAAATTCAAGCAGTCGCAAAAATAATTATATCCCCGGGATTTAAGAGATCAGTAATCAGTAACTATTTACTATTTGACATTTCCTAGTGAAATGAAGATTTTTATGAGCAATCAAAAGCAACGAGCAATCAGAATATGCTATATTCAACTTTTTCATTTCAGTTTATTATGCAAAAAAAAAAATCAAAAGCTCATTACTAGGACGTGTCGGTCGATTCCTACTTTTAGATACCTATCTGATTCTGCACCTTCCTCTCGTCAGTCCGCTGTTTCCTTTCGTACGGAGTTGCCGGCTGTGACTGCACAGTCCGCCGCCCGGCTGTTCGTTTCCAGCGGCCGTCGTACTCCGGGAGACGACCGGCCGACGGGCGGCGCAGAAAGCGGTCCGGAAGGTTCGCCGGATCGCCGCAGTAAAGTCCCGACGGCCGGCGGCCCACAGCCGCGGCCGGAACGTCCCTCCAGAGGGCGGGATGGGACGGCAAGCGACCCGACGGGCCGCCGCGACTCACGGCACTCGGCGAGCTGGGAACAAACACCACACTGCGCCGAAACAGTTGAAACGCGCCCCGATAAAGAAGGAAGAAGGTAGACTGCTGTTGTAACCTCCCCTTTTCACTCTTGATTCGGGAATCTGTATTCGACTCTGTGTGCTGGTGTCATGTTTCCTGTGGTGACCGATTGTCCAGATTCTGACTGTCAGCACGTTCCCGATCGCCGACACATTTCGATCCTCGTCCTTCTCCGACACGTCTCACTAACCTCCCTCATCCACTGTTTGCCGGCAGCCACGTTCTTCTCTCACGTGCTGCACTGGGTTCGTCACGAGCGGGCTGAACGGGACAAGGAGTACCGGCGCCGTCAGCTGGAGGCCCGGCGCGAGCAGCGTGATCAGAAGGAGGCCCGGTTCGAGGACTGGGAGCGCCGTCTCCTGGCCGATGGAGTCGGCGACCGGCTCAAGTGCATGTGGGAGGTGAGTGATGATGGCTGCATCGGCACGGAGTCAATCACAAAGTCATTACTCTCAGCTTAGTGTTTAGTTGCTGTTTGGCGTTGACGATGTCAATGACGTTGTTCATTGACGATGCTGTATAGATTTGGCTTTCTTGTTAACGTTTGGAAACTGTTTTGCCATTGTTATTCGTCTTTTCACTGTATGTTTTGCAGCTGGCTTGTGATGCATTCGTCTCTGGTGTGGTGTGAGCTCAAAGCTGATTGTATTTTCTCTGCGTTGGCAGTTTCCGCAGATGGCCACGTTCATCCATCTGAGTCTGCGCGCGCTGAACATCCTGGAGGTGCCGCTGTACGAAATGGAGCGCATGCTCCTCCTGCCGCAGTCCTCGGAGACGCTGGCCGTTATGATGACATCGCTGGTCAGGTGAGGATAGACGCGTCCCGATATGCATATCTAACCACTATGTAGTCCGATATTATCTTAACCAGTGTCTGACAATCATTTTTACTATTCAAAGTGTACTTCTATACTGTCCACTGGCTTCTTTGCATGTTGGCCGGTTCTGTCTTGTCAGTCTGCTTCTAACACCAGCCCTTGTCGCCTGATGCTCCCGCAGCCCACCGCTGGTGCGCGCCAAGCTGGACACGATGCCGCCGATGCCGTACCATGTGTGGACGGCCAAGCTGGCGGCGAGGGCCACCATCTGGTACCGGGCCTTCGTCCGCGAGCGCGGCTGCACCCAGCGGCTGCTCGAGACACTCGGCATCGACCCGCACTTCTGGGAGATCTTCGGTCCCAGGAACCCGTTCAAACGGTGTCTGTTCCATAACATGAGCTACTACCAGCGCGTCTGGATGATCAAGACAATGTGCGACCATCTGTTTGTGAGTAGAGACGAATGATAGGGTTGGTGGAAGGCAAAGAAATTATGCTTACCGGGGAGGCTGTTATGTTGATCTCTTTTGCAGAATGTGACACATTAGGAAACGACCGTGTTGTATTTTTGTTAGCAATGCGTCATGTCATGAGCACCGAATGACATTGTTATTCAATATACCATTTGTAATTTTCTATTTCCCGCCCACTGGCTCATATTTTCACTCGTACAGCTCCTTAATTCCGTCGATGGTTTTGCAGATCCCTAATTTGACTTACCGATTACTATTGATTTTCCCTTATTCACACGCTGCCTCTGTCCTTCAGCCTCGGCTAACCATGCGTGTTGCGTTCGGCCGCCCACAGCACAGTCACAAGTCGCTGCAGGACTGTGTGTTGGAGACCTCGGAGGCGGAGCCGCGCGAGTCTGTGGTCGGCACCGACCGTCACGGCTTCGAGTACCTGCACTTCCCGCAGCTGCTGGTGCGAGATGTGCGCGTGTACCGGCGGCGGCCGTGGCGCGCGCCGGCCGACTGGACTGCGCCGCCGCCGCCGGCCGACTCCCCGCCGCGCCTGGTGGCCGCCGGACAGCGCTGGACCAAGACCAAGCTGCGGAAGCTGCAGAGGAAGCTGGCCGCCCTGCGAAAGCAGCACATCGCGGCGGCTCCGCGGGCGGCGCGGCACGCCTGCCTGCGGCCGGCCACCCCGCTCGGAGAGGACGCAGGAGAGCGGGGAGGAGGCAGAGCCGGAGGTCGGGGTCGAGCTCGGAGAGGGCGAGGACCCCACCGCCGGCGAGGACGGTGACTGGCGAGTGCCGTCCCACCTGAGTCCGGGCCGCGGGCGGGGCCGCGGCAAAGGCAGGGGCAGGGGGCGCGGCAGGAGCCGGGCACGGAGCGGTGCCGCGCGCGCCCGCTCGGCCCCCTCGTCCGCCGCGCCCACCCCCACCGTCAGCTTTTCGCCGAAAAAGGCGCCCAGCAAGCCGCCAGTCGTGGATGAGGTGAGGAACGAATGAGATGGGATGGGATGATAACCGAAGGTTTGTTGTCAATAGTTAAAACACTATTCTTTAGAATTGTGTTTTTCTATTGAAAAACAAATCTGAGTTCCCTGACAATTTGGCAAAAGCTGCCTGAGATCAGTATAGGATCTCATAGCTGTTGGGCCGTTGGCTAGGTTTCTGAATAAAGTTGTTTATTGTCATATTCAGGTGCATCTTATGGTTTCAATCTGTTTCTGACTTTTTCTTTATTTTCTGTATTTTTCTTGTGTTTTACGCAATAGCCACCATAGCACGTGGTCATGACCTGCTAGAGGTTCACTCGGCCCTGCTGGAGCCACGCTGTATACTGAGTACATTCTAGTTGGTAAAAATTTGTGATACCAGACCATTTTCTGACCAGTTGTGCTCTCTTGTTTGACAGAACACCTGCCAGTACTGTGGCCTGTCTGTGAGGAGTCAGAGGGCCAGAAACGCTCACCGCTGCCTTCAAAAACAGGTACGAAATAACTTTTCGAGCAGCTGCTTAAGGTAACTCGATGTTCCCGCAGTGATATCCTGCTACCAACGGAAGTGGACCTTTAACGCTGTTAATGATGCGTAAGCCTCGTTGCGTCAGTTTTAGCTTCCTAATTTTCAATGAATCTATCATCCCGTCGTCTATCAATCTATCAGTCTATCATATTTTGCTATGTCCTTTGTATCCGAGTGTCGGGGTGTCGACCGATATTCCACTGACAGCCTCTGTCCGTATCGTTTACAGATGGCGCTGGCGCCAGAGGAACCAGAGACCCCCTCCCGGACCCCGCGCGGCCGGCGCACCGCCCGCCGCTCCCCGTCCTCGTCCTCAGCAGACCGTGAGGGCAGCTCGGCCGAGTCCTCCTCCTCTGAGGCGGAGGAGGAGGAGGAGGGAGAGGACCCGGGCGTCTCCGCCGAGGACGAGACGCTGATGGCGTCGCTGGTAGACGCTGAGGGCGCTGAGGACGCTCAGATGTCAGGCGGGGAGGATGGTCCTCCCAACGAGGACGAGTCCAGGATGCAGGAGGACGCTGAGGATTCCAAAATGGAGGCGAGCGACAGCGAGGACTCTGAGCCGGAATCAGCTGACGGTGAAGAGTCCAGAAAGGAGGGAGGAGCTGGGGAATCCGACGAAGAGAAATCCGCGATACCGTGTGAGGAAACCACCAGCTCGTCGGAAGACGAAGAGGAGAAGTCAGAACGGGCGGTTGAGTGCGCCTCGAGTCGAGCATCCCCTGCCGGTTCCCCGTCTCCCGCTGCAGGGACCGGGGATGGTGAGAAATCAGCGCCCACCGCTCTGACGAACGGTGTGTCCGAGCCTCCGAAAGCAGCGGCAGATGGAAGTGGAGAGGGTGCGACTGAGGTGAACGGAATGTCAGATGGCGCTGGCAGCTCCTCACCGGTGGAAGAGGACGAGAAAGGATCGCCGGCCGAAAGAGGAGGCGACGGAGAGTCAGCAGAAGGAGGCATGGCGACAAAAACAGCTGAGGAAAGCGGCGGCACGGTGCCTGGTCCGGGGGGAGACAGCAACGCGCGTGCCTCACCACCCGACGAGAAACCCGACAAACCTGCGGATGTGGCGGAATCTGTCAAAAAGCCAAGCACAGAAGCCTTAAAGACAAAGAGAGTCCATAGTGTAAAAACGTCAGAAGATGGGCTAAAGCTCGTCTTCTCCAAGTCCGACATTGTCGTTAAGCCTGACCCAGATTCTGAAGACTCCAAACCTTCGGCCACCCCGCCGGATGACATCAAATCCGAGCCGGACACTGCCAAAGACGAGCTCAAGTCCGAGCCGAACGGCGTGCTGAAGCGGGACGGCCCGGCGGCGGCGGTGGTGGCGGCTCTGCCCGAGCTGCCGGCGCCGGAGCGGATCCCAGAGCCTCCCGAGGTGCCCGCCGCCGACCCGGACCAGTTCCAGCTGGTGGCCGACTCGTTCGACAGTCTGCGCCGGCTCATCGATAAGTTCAGTCCCCAACAGGCGGCCGCGGACTCGACCAAGAAAAAGGTGCGTCTGATATCGATGGGATGGGTCGGTTGTGCTAGTATTGTGTATCTGGCAAACTTCGGTGATCAATAATGTAGATTTTGTTAGTGATAAATGAGTTCTATGTTTGCTGATCGTCTATTGACTGCAAAGTTTTGTCGAGGCCATCGGCCAAAGATGACGTCGATTACTTTCTTTGCTCGCTGCTGTCGTTTAGCTACGGCGGCTATCAGCTCACCTCTTCAACCGTTCAGTTTAGAAATAACGTATTTCTTTGTTTTCCAGAAATCAAAGCAGCCTCAGTGCGAGGTGGAACTTCACGCTGCGTTGAAGAAGATTTTGGAGGAGTTGGAGCCGCTCGAGGCGAAGATTAACATGTCTGTGCGACGCATGCGCAAACGTCTCTGCCAAGAATGGCTGGACTTCGTCAAACGGTAAGCCGCTGAGAGGGAGAGCGATGGGTATTATTCTACAAAATACTTGCCGGCTAATTTTCACGAATAATAAATGCTGGGAGCAAGTCCCTACACCTTGAGGCATGTCTTCCCTGCAAGTCAAGAATATGTCTTATCTCCCGCTTTCCTCCGATTTCGGTGGTTACTACATAAGCAATGAACATGATGGTTGTAATGTCGGTAATTAGTACCTAACTGTTTGTTGGTCCGTGCTTCCATGTTTTCCCCGTTCCACACCCCCACCAGCCGCCTGACCACTGCCTGTGTTCCAGGCCGGCCAACTACCGCCACCCGGGCGAGGCGGTGTGGAGGGAGCCGGGCGACCCAGAGCCGGCGCCGCCCCCGCCGCCGCCGCCGCCGCCCAAATCACCAACACCGCCGCCCTCAGAGGACGACAGCGGGGACGGTACGTGCGGACTCGTAGCTATGACTGGCCCGACTTACTATTCTACTGTGCCGTTTTTCTCGGAATCAAAATGACCAAAATCGCGGCCGAAACGCAAAAGTCCCCCTAGAGAGGTAGCTTGGGATTTTCAATAGAAAATCACAATTCTAAAGAATAGTGATGTCTAATTGAAAAGTCCCAACCTTCGGATACTTACGGGTCTAGCTGGGGGGGGGGGGGGGGGAGGACTGACCGGAGAGGTTTACTTGGGAAGGATAGACTGAGTGAAAAGCCAAACGACTGCGCCGTTTCGCTGCAAAAACAAGCCGAACAAAGTTTTGTTTTGTTTGGTGAAGTCTTGGGAGATATCCAAAGTGTACCTAACACGGCTGTATGGCTGTGGACTTTTCTTGAAGTTGGCGACAGTAATTTGATTGAGTTAAATTAAGTTGCCTTGGAAATGACATTGGTGCAACGGCAAGTGTATGAGAGGTGTCCGACGTATAGACAGCAGAAATTGTTCATATAGTTCTACGATTGACTTTGGAATGTTGTTTCCCTGTCATCATGCGCCGTCCTGTGCGACACAGTTTAATGTTCTGGCAGATTATGCAGTAGGTGTTTCCATGTCCCCGCGATGTCTGCGTTGGTCCCGTGCGTCAGCTGACTCGACTGTCCATCTGTCCACAGAGACGGGCCGCCGCAAACAGCGGAGTCGCGCGGCCAAGCGCCGCCTACCCCAGAACAGCTACCGGGAGCCGGAGAGACTGACGGAACGGTCGGGCCGCGGCAGTCGTCCCTCTGCTGCCGCCGCTGCTGCCTCCTCGGCACCCCAGGTCAGCTCCCGAGGCCGGCTGAGGAAGATCCGAAAAATGGACGACTTCGATTATGACGAGGATGAGCTGCTGCTGCCGGCTCGGCGGGACCGCGAGACGGAGCGATCGGCGCCGGCCGCGGAGGGGAAGACGGCGGTACCAGACGGTAAGACGACAGCAGCGGAGGGCAAGAAGGACGCCCCGCTGCCGCAGAAGGTGGCCGCGCGGCTGTCGACCGCTGCCGAGCCGTCGCCGGCCTGGAACAGCGACCTGGCGATGCTGGGCGCCGCTGCTCTGCCGTCCGGCCGCGGTGCGACCCCCGCGCGGACGGGGCACGGCGCGGCCAGCGCGCGGACGCCGGCCGACCCAGCCACAGAACACCATCCTGCAGTCGGCGCTGACGAGCCAGCGGCCGGTGGTGCGCACGGTGACGCGGCCGGCCTCCTCCGTGACTCGTGCGGTCTCCGCCGTGACACTGCCCAGGGGCGCCGTAAGGCCGCTGAGCACCGGCAGGCGACGGTTCGTGGTGCGTCGGACCAACGACGGCCGGATGATCATGGAGCACCTGGCCGTCGTCGGCAATCCGCCGGAGGATGAGTCTGACAGCGACGAGGAGTCGGACGACCCGGCGCTGTCGGGTGCCGGCGCGGCGCGACCGGTCGGCGGGCAGGTGGTTCAACAGCTCCCCCTCGATCACGCTGACCTGGTGTCCTCGCCGGCCGGACCGCGTCTCCTGGCGCCCCGCGCCCCGCTGCGCCCGGCCGGGCCGCGGCCGTTCCAGCCCCGAGTCGGCGCGGCGCCGGTCCGAGGTGTGCGGCGCGGCCCGGGCCGTCCGCCGCTCCGCCCTACCGGCACTCCCCGGTCGGCCGGCACCCTGCGGCTCATCCGACCCCTGGTGGTGTCTTCTGGGGCCGGTCAGCCCGCCGGGAACACCACAAGGATTGTGATCGCCAGCAGCGGCGGGACGCCCATGCAGCAGGTCATCCAGACCTCGGCAGCGGCGAGTCCAGTCCAGGTAGCGGCGGCGTCGGCGGCGACTCCGGTACAGGTGGTCGCGGCGGCGGGCGGAGAGCAGTTGCCCTACGAGCCCGACCTGGCCGCCAAGATCAAATCTGTGATGCAGCAGCTTCAGTCAATGAACGTGGTACTGACCAACGAGAGAGCCCAGCAGGTAGCCGTAAAAATCCTGGCCGAGGCGCGGCGTAAGAAGCTGCTGGCGGCCTCCAGTTCGGGCGCTGCGGCGGCCACCACGTCCGCCGCACCGGTGGTGACCGTCGTCTCCGCCCCCGCCCCCGCTCCCGCCCCCGCCCCCGCCCCCGCCCCCGCTCCGGGAGTCGCGCCCGTGCGGCCGCCGGTGGTATCTGTCAGCGTCCTGCCCGGTCAGCGACTGCCCTGTTACCGGCCGGTGACGGCTGGGTCTCCTCAGATCCAGCTGGTGCAGAGAGTGGTACGGCAGCCCGGCCGACGGCCGGCAGCTCCAGTGTCAGCACCAGCGGCTTCGGCGGCCCCCAGCGCCTCGGACCCGCTCCAGATGGCCATGGCTGCCAGCGGCCTGTCGGACCTGGTGCCGACCTCGTCAGCCGGCCCCCAGGCCGCTCCGCCAATGCCCATCCGGGACCCCACCGTACTGGTGGGGCGCGCGGCGATGCTGAACCAGCCAGTGACCCCGTCCAAGGCGCAGCCGTCTGTCCCCACGCTAGCGGCGGTCAGCAGCGCCGGCCCGGCCACACCATCCACCCCGGCCCCGTCCGCCGCCAAACAGGGCAAGATCGTCATGGTGCAGCGGGGCGGCGAGCAGAAGCTGTGTATCCGCCTGGCTAGCGGTCAGCTGGTGGAGTTGTCGGCCACTCAGGCCAACACGGTGCGGCAGGAGGCGCAGCGCAGGAAGAGCCAGGCGCAGACGACGTCCGGCGCGCCGGCCGGCCAGTGAGCGCGCCGAGAGGGGTGTCGATGGACGCTGGGAGGCGTGAGAGAAGGTGGGTCGGGCGGCCGGGACTGCCGGTGAGACGGTCCGCAGAGCGAACTCACCGAGCCAGCCTGTCAGGGACCAACCGATAGGGGATGCAACACAGCCGGAGGTTTTAGCTAGGTTTTATCCCAGCCCTGTCGAACACATGCATTTGGCTCTTTTAGGCAGTCTTTGATTTAGTGAAATCGTTCCGCTGTTTCGCGCACAGCAAGAGATTGGTCTGTCTGTGTGTTAGCTGACACTGCCGGGGGGCGCTCACTGTCTCTATCAGAGTCTCGGTGGTATCGATCTGGCCGGCCGGTGTCTGTACCATCGTGTGCCGGTGGGACGGGGTGGGATGGTTCGCGGTGGGCGGCGGCCCATGACGGGTGGTTCAGATATTGCGCCACTCGGGGGAGGGGCAGGTCGTGTGAGTTCACAATTGCTCGCCAGAGGCAGCCAGAGCCAGACGTTCAAAGCAGCGGTGGCGTGCGCGGGCGTGCAGAGATTGGGTGCGCCGGCTGGCGGGCGCGCTCTCCTTGGGGGATGACGGCGGGCGGTCGAATGATGCACTCTCAGTTCCCGGTCGTCAGCGCGGTCGACTTCGTCACAGCATATCCAGCTGCCCCCACCGGCACACTTCTGTTCCCGCCTTGTGTGTGTTTGTGTGTGACGTCACTCCCTGTCCTGCGGCGTTGAGTCATTGGTCGTGTCGGGGACTGTATGACGTCATTCCCTCTCCGAGTGCACCGGCGACCAATAAGCCGGAGCGTGTTGACGGCCGTCACCCATGAGTCGTGTTCGTTCAGCCAGTTAGGAAAGTCACGGAGCGTGTCTTATAGCGATTAGCTGAGCCGATGGAGGCTGGTAGTGTTAGCGTATTTCTCAATGCTGTCGTCCTTGCAATGCTATTTTGGACTGTAATATATTGTCTCTGGACTATTCACTTTTAATGGGATACTGTGAAGAAGCCGTGAGATTTGACCCGTGTTGTTACGAAACACGGACTTGATAACCTCGGCGAGGGCAGTTGGAGCCAAGCGGTGCCCGTCCCGTCGGTGTCACCAGGCGGGACTTCCCCCCCCCCCCCCCCGGGCCAGGCCGGTCACTATGTGGGTGGTCTCGTTGCCGTTCCGCTCAGTCGCAACTCGCAGCCACGAACCCGGTGACCTGGCGCAGGTGGGCGGGATGGGCCGTGCCTGGTCCCGTCAGCCTTTACTACACGAGCCAGCTCTGTTCGTGGGAGTCGGAGAACTGCCTGTGCGACTCGGGGTGCCTGGTCGCTCTCACGTTGCCATCAAATTACATGATCACGCGAAGAGGCAGTAATCATGAGTGATGACGTGTTTCTAAAAAAAAAAATGCCTGGCCCGACCACCGCGAGTGGTTTGTGTGGTAATGTTTCCACTACTCAAGCCTCACCGGCGTTTTCGCGAGACATTGAGTTGTGACTTGTATTGAGCCTAATCGCTAGCTCTCTCCACACTTATTCATCCTCCTTGCATCTTTTAGTAAAAAGGAACCTAATCAGGCCAGGTCAAGTCACGGGCTTTTAGCGTCGTAAAAGGCATACAACCTCTGGTCCTCTTAGCCAATCGGTACCTACTTATCGGCATTCAAACTCTACATGATCAAAGCTCTTGGCCGAAAACTTCTAAGCTTTATATAGATGCTTGACTTCGGCAAGTTTGGAATTTTTGAACATTTAGTTTTGGCCGTCTTCTATTTTTTTACTCTGCTGGGTGCCGTCCAAAGTACCTACACTACATAATGCACATACTGCTGAACTACTAAATATTACATGTCGCTAGGGGAACAATTGTTACAGGTAGAATGGAATCAGTGAACACTCGTTGTAGTTTTGGGTTAGGGCGCGGAGCAACTTGGCTTTTGCGTCCAACCAGTGAACACTGATACCCGCGGGCTCCGGCTGCTCGCCGCCGCAGCCCCTCCCCCTCCCCTGCTCGTCCCCCGCTCGGAGTCACCGCGCGCCCGGTATCGTGTGTGACGTCACAGGTGCCCGGGGCTACGGTCGCCGAGCGCCGGTTATGAGTCATGACCGCCACCGTCCGGTGCCGACCAGCAGCGACCGCACCGCAGAATCTTAGCGTAAGCACTAGAGATGTCAATCGGATACCAACTTTTTGGTATACCGATACCAAACCGATACCAACTTGGTATTTGGTATTTCAATCGTAATGTGTTCGGTATTTTGTTGGTATCATGAACCCTCACTAATGTATAAGAGGCTAAGAAATCGGTAAAAGTTGGTATTTCCCTCATTTTCCCAAGTTGGTTTGATTTCGGTATTTTCCCGTGGTTTTGGTTGGTATTTGGTTTGGTATCGGTACTCCGATTTTCCGTAATTGACATCACTAGTAAGCACAGTAATGGGAACAGTAGAGAGGGAACGTCATTGGAAACAGCCTACTGTTCCCAATGACGGATTATTTTTTCTCAATATGTGGAAAGATGATTTAACTGTGAACTACAATGCAGTCACCGTCTTTTATTTCACTGTTAGATTGCGCGAATTTAGTGCCGTGAATAGAGTGCCGTGAAATGAAAGTAGGCGGCATTAGGTTCTTACTGCAAGCATTTCGTTCGTCGGGCATCCACGGGCTCTGCCGTTACATAGGTACTGCGACCGAGCCCGTCCCTGTCACCGGTCTCTCCGGTCACAGTCGCGTATGTGACCGACTGGCCGGCCGCACGCGGCGAGTCTGCGAGTGATTCCTCTGCCGACGGCGCGACGCCGTGCGCCGCCGCCGCCGCCGCCGCCGGGACGTCGCGGTCGCACCGAGTGAGCTCAGTAGTGCGCCGACACCGACAGGCCGACGCAGGGTCACACCACCGCCCGCCGGCCGGCACCGCGACTCAGCACACAGCGTGCCCCAGGTGAGGTCATGACCGGCTGGTATCGCAGGAGAGGTCAGGAGGGGTGCGACAGAGGAGATTCGAGCCGGAGGGTTAGATAAAAATATGGCTCTACATATCCGTTTTCCGTTTATCCGTTTTGACTGTATATCCGTTTTGATAAAGAATAATGGCCGGGAATGACTGTCAATTTTCGGCCTCAACGCGTTATGAAGGGAGTAATAATGCGCTCGGCAAGGCTAAGCAATATGCACAGTTTTGAAACAGAGAATGCAAGCACACGATTGAGATAACTGGAGCCTATTATGTCGATGGATGCCGCTGGTTTAATCAGTTGGGTCGGTTTATTTCCGAGACGAACGTCATGAGGAAGGAAGTGAACGAGAACGCGTATACGTGGACATGTAAAATGCCTATAAACGTCTTGGTGATTACTGATTTTGTAAATACATTAGCTTTGCTGGAATGCTGACAGAAGATAATTTCCGGAAGACAGAAAATACTAAGCAGACATTACCTGCCGGAATACTAATCCACGAATGGTGAATCTGAAAAGTGAAAAATACGAGAGGCGCTGCGCCTAGTACTCAGACTGCACCGCAAGACTCGCTGTTTCATTATATTCCTCACAGATGGCAGCACGAGTACAACGCCTGCATATAGACTGTACCGCAATGCACTCTCGGGGAATGCGAGCGCTGGAGGCCTGCTGGCTGCTGCGTGCGCGCCTGTCTATTTTAGACGGACACGGCGACTGCTTCTAAAGTTATGACGGGCATTGGGTTTCTGTAGTTGGGTAGAAACCTGCTTTTTGCATCTATGGCCTAATCAATTTTGTACGAACGTAGTTGAATGAATGGAAATGCGAGGCAAATACGCCCTGCAATATACGCATACGGTCCAATCGGGATGTTCGGGGGCGACTCGATGATCGGATCAATAGCAAATATAATAAGGAATCCAAATTATTCGTCCAATTTACAATTCATGTCCTGCCAGTGTATTTTATCAACCGGCACTGAGAGTGGTGACGCTTCCTTTCACCTTCACGCTTCAGCATACTATATCATCAACAGAAATGTTAAGCATAATTTTGTAAATAATTTAAATACTTTATTTAATTACAGGCTCACACGATCTTTCATACCAGAAATGAGCTTAAATGGAAACCAGCAACTGTGATAATACGTGGGTGTGTAGCGGTGGTAGTACATAGTACATACCAAGCAGCTTACAGCCTCTTAAAGTTTTATCTTTTGATTTGCCTGCTTTATTATGCGTTCGATTCCATGGATGGGAGAGCATGATCCCCCTTAAATGGCCAACTAAAAGCCGAACTAGAGGTAGAATAATTCAAAACATAAGCGAAAATACGGCACTCGGAGCACCAATCTAAATTTAGTCTTATCAGCAGCCAGCAGACACGAGAGGGCGACGTTTAGTGCCCGTAAAAGTACATCCGTTTATCCATGCTGCTCGCTGTAGCATGAAAACAAATGCTTCCAGTATCCTTTCAGCTTTCATAATTCAATCTCATAGACAGGAGACGTGACTGAGCCAAATCTAGCTCATTTCCTCCGCCGCGCTGTCCAGTTCCAGTTTCACCTCCGGCCGCTCTTGTGGCCGACTTTCCCGACCCAGTCGGCCCTTGTCGGTGGGCGCGGCAATGTCGGCAGGGTATGGTCGCTGGGTGGCCGGCCGGCCGGTCGGCGAACTTGTTGCACCGCTCCAAATCGGTCTCTATGACCGAGACGGCCTGTTGAAGCCACCGGCGAGCCGTGACGACTCTGGCCGCTAAAGCCGCCAGATTTATTGCGGTGTAACAGCCAGCCCTCGGGCGGATAAAGCCGGCAGCGATATGCGGTCGAGCCTTTACCATGACGTGTACGCTGCGGTTGGCTATGAGAGTCACGACGGTATAACTATTTCCATTTCGGGACTTATCATCAAACATGGCATAAATTAGGAAGCCGAAAGGCTCACGCACAAACTGGAGACACTCTTATAACCCCGACAGCAGCTGGTGTCCCGTTTTTACCGGTTTAAATTGTAATGCCTGTCCCGTAGCTCAGTTGGTAGAGCATTGGACTCCCGGTAGTGAGAGCCCGGGTTCGAGACGCTCCGGCGCTCGATATTTGAGACTCCTGACGGGGATCGTCTGCGGCTGGTGGGAGCAGCCGCAGCCAGTTGAAGTCGGTTGAGTGGGACAGGCCGTGTCCGGCTTTGAAGGGCACGTTAAACTTTGGCATCTAAATTCACCCGTTACCCGGAATTGCGCGGGCGGATGGTAGGGGCTGGGGTCTACGCATGAACAAGCTCTGCTTAGCGTGGGCTCCGGCTCTGTCAATCCGTCCATTCAAACATTCGATCTAAATTTATAATAAAAAAATGCCCCGAGGCATCGTATGTTTCTGTGAGAGGTCTCCTGTGCGGCGGAGGTCAGGAAGGGCACTCGTTTGTATTCACACCTCGTTTTAACCCGCGCCCTGGTGGGGTCTGTTTATAACGCGACCTGGTGGGGGGGGGGGGGGCTATAAACGGCGTTCGAAAGGCCTGTCAAATTTGTCGAAGGAAACCAAATTTCATTGACCTCGGGGTCACCGATGACGTCACAGGTCAGGTCAAAGATGAAATGTTTCACCGTTCACGGGTCTTCTAGGGAATGCGCTATAACACCGAGGAAAACGCATTTTGTCGAGAATCAGCGATAGGGCGTCAGTTGCCTAGTAGATATGTTGCTATTAGAGGTCACTGACAATACCAGGTCAGGTCACAGGTCAGGTCACCAAGGGTCACAGGTCAGGCCACATGAGCCCAACTTTACTAAGGTTGTGTGATGCATGTTTTATGGCCAATTTTTCATTTCCAACTCAATGGTGTTGGTTATAAGACTATCAGGTACGGCTTAGGTCACTTTCTGGTGGAGTTCAGTTCAAGGTCAGGTCAAGGTCAGGCCAAAAAAGGTCAAATTTTAAAGTTGATAGTTTTGCATAAAATGGGTATTGATTCGATGCAGCTCGTCACGGGGAGTCTAATGGTGGTCTTTGTTTTGCGCTACGGGGTCTAGAATTGCTCAAAATTGAGTTTGAAAATTTAACGTCATCAATTTTGAACAGTTTTTTACGCTATAACTTCGCCAAAAAAAGAGGTATCAATCTCAAATTTGGTATGTGGATGGAAGGCGGTAAGGACTATCACATATATTCCGGTTTTTGCGAAATTCAAAAAACTTTATGGATTTTTCGATTATTATATCCAAAAGATTTACATTTTGATTTTTGGGGGTCAAAATCCAAAAATTTCACAAATTCGAGATAGCAGTCTTGTAGCCCTGTTAATTCTACATCTTTTATGTCTTTATCATTTTTCTGTATTTGCAAAGCTATAGGCCTGACAGCTCTTCCCGCAAAACCCTTTTTTGGGTCGAAAACGGCAGAACATGACGTCACTCTGACGTCATTTCCGGCCAACCTATCATAGCCTTTGGAAAAAAATTTTGGTCACAATGTGTAAAATTGATGTCCGGGAGGGTACTGAAAGTTTGGTGACGATCGGCGCAGCGGTTCTGGAGATATAGCGAAAAGTCTGGAGGGGGGGGGGGCAAAAAATAGCCCCCCCCCCCCCCACCAGGTCGCGGGTTAAAAGACGTTAGGAAGGAATGGAAGAGGCGCCAGGTGATGCAGTTTTTATTTGAGCACCGTCGCCGAGAGCTGTAGCTGTGAATGAACCAAGTGTGCAGCGTAAACCTATACTCCATGTTGCATAGCTCGGGTCAGCCTGCTCCTTTTGCCACCAGCCTCCATTTTAGGCGCATTGCTTTTTGCCATCCTCATTCATTCATTCATTCAGTTTCGTCGTAGGAGGCAAATTGCCTAATGGTTTTACTGGCTTTACCAGCGTGTGTAGGTGCATCGCTCAAGTGGCTGCCATCGGAACCCTTCTAAATGGCCCAGGAGAGTGTGACCACACCCGATCTCACTGCTTGACACTGCAACCACGCATAAAACAGAACATCGGCAAACAGCGGAAATGCTATATCAATTGAGTGATGCGTCAGTAATACGGTTTTTGCGAACGGCAATAAGTAATTGTCTCGGTAACAAATTTAGATAAAAATTAGCTTATTATTAGGCAGGTAAAGATATAAGATAACAATAAGTCAATGGCAAGAAATGATAAAAACATATAAGCTATATAGATTTTGTTAGACAATTGAACATAGGTACCTTCTATGATAAGACAGAGAAGAGAAGAAGCATTACCAAATTAAATGCTAAATATACTCTTGTCTCTATGTAACATGCCTAATGTACAGTGTACCTATACCCGGTAATGGCTTGTGCGAAACAAATGCTGGAATGCGCAAGCTCACTTTCTACCTAACGTTTTTATTATATCTTTAATTTATCCTTTTCAGCTTACGGTGTAAATTAAGGAACGATCAACTTTCGTTGACGCGACCGTAGGGTAAGGTGCCCAATTAGCGACCCTTTCCGATTTGCGACCTACCTCCCTACAGAAAAACTGGCAGAAGAAAACGGGGTAAAAATATCGTCAAAAGGTCAGCCATGCTTTGGTTATCAAATTAAATTATTTGCCGGTCGTCGATGTTTCTGGTGGGACGTTTCAGGTGAGTTTAAATAAAAATGACGAGTTTCTTATCCAAAACGTGTGTGTTTGGGCCCTCTCTGATAAAAAGCGATGCACATTAGGATGATGCACCTTTTTTATTCTGAATCGACATTCCTTTTTCAATTGATTGCCGTTTTCCCATAGTGAATCGCTCAACTGTGCACAGCATGGCGGTTAAAAATGTGTCGCAACTCATATTTCCTATTTGCGCCTGACATGGTCGCAAATAGCTCAAGAAGGGAAAGAAAGGGGAAAAGAAAGAAATGAAAATGAGGTGTTGCTGAAGCTTGCAATGTGCGGCAGGGGATGCCAAATGTCGTCACCAACTGCAGGGGTGCCGAATTCAGCGCGAACCTCGAATATCATACGAGATAGCTCGCAAAATTTGGGTTTCCGCCTTCTTTTCGCCTTCGGTGCATCACGTGATCAGTTTTTACTTACGTAAATGTGTTGGATAAACGTTCCTGTTCGAGTGATTGAGTGCTTTGCGTAAAGGTTAACTTTTTGAGATCATATTAGTGATATTTCATCTTTTCAGGCGTCGCATTTTTTGCCATTTTTAATATGGGGAAACCCATAGACTTATTAGCGACCCTCCCCGGTCGCTAATCGGGAAGAGTTCCCTATTAGCGTTTTTTGCAAAGGTTTGCCAAAATGCTCACTACAAATAAGTTAGTGAATATTGGGACAGAAAATGACTATATTTTAATAGAAAAATGAACGATCTCTCCGAAAATCAAACCAGTAATACAGTGGCACCCACCGAGCGTGAGTAATGACGGTTCAAATTAAGGGGGTCGCTAATTAGGCACCTTACCCTACTGTATTCCGATAGCATGTCAAGTCAAGATAAATACTTTTATTTTTTCTGGTAGTATGGGCAAATTGCCAGGGAACTGAGATTTGTTTTTCGATCGAAAAAACACAATTCTAAAGAATAGTGTTTCAACTATTGACAACAATCCTTCGGTTATACAATTTCAACTTCAGAATAAAGTAAACGTAGCGTTCATCCTATTTTCGTCATTGGTTGGAAGGTAGACGGCATGGATATTCAATACTCCTTCAGTGTGTTTCATACCGTATATACCTACTGCATACATTCCTCTCGGATGGTCAGGGCCATAGACTACTCCATATCAGTAATACATTAGTCTATGTCAGCGTACAAAGCATATACTCGTGTAGTGTAGTAGCCGACGAACAGATAAGAGTGATGCTTCACAAAACAGCGTCACTCTGGCGGGAAGCCCGTCTTGTCCCAAAGTCTCATGAAGAACTCTGCCACTGATGGGCTGCGCAATGGCGGACGCACTCCACTGAATAGTGGCAGCTGGCACCTTTGAGATGAATTGGAAACCTCAAAATATAGGCGAAGCCTGTCACCGCTCACACCCCGCGGTTCCCACCATATGCTGACAATACGAGCTCTCTGCTTATCCTCGTGGCTGGTGCGCTGGTGAACGCTAAATATGGCGGCTAAAAGAAAACGCAAAATTGAGGTTAACTGAGACATTCAGAGCTTCAATGAAAGGCTGAGCTCTCATATCAAATTATCTTTTGTCATAAGATATCTGCTCGTACTGCATTTACTGAGTGCTTAGTGATTATATTGAAAACGTTTTTCTAACGGAGGCTTCTGTTCAAAAGTTGGTGCCTTGAACTTATTTCTATGATAAATACCGCTTTGAACGTCTGCAACGGGCACTTACCATAAGTAATAGAGAGCTTGTCAATATGTTGGTCACGATGCCTCCGTTGAATGAGCGAACCATTACTCATTCGAACCGAGTCTCCTTTGGTCCGTCTGAGCGGCAATGGATAGTGGCGGGCTTATATTGCCAACTTCTAGAACGGTGCAGTGGCTCCTCAGCAGTTTTGACGTGTTGACGGCATGGCAATTTAGTGGCATATTTCATATTCATTATTTCAAATGCGATGCAATTCCAGAACTTATGCCTTTTACCTCCCATGAGTCGCGCATTTGGGAGCATTGTTCATAGAAGCATTTTCCAATGTCAATTTAGGTCTCAAATTTCTGTCTGCACGTTTATTCCTTTCTCTCTTTCAAGATCACTGAAAGGCGCTTATTTGAACCGAAGTCGCGTTGGCCAATTCGAGCCTTCCACCGAAATACCGTGTGCCGCGCCGAGCTCATGCCTCATAACTCGGTGCGTTGTGACGTGTCTCGGCACCAGTAATGAGATCTGGCGCGGCCGGGGCCCGTCTCCGCGGCCATCTGACCCGCCGGGGCACACCGCCGCCCGCCCTCGGGGAGCCGCTCCCGCCCCGCGGCTCCGAGGCGCTCGGCGTCACCGGCCTCTGATCATTGTTTCACGATCTACAAAGGTGGTCGGTGGCGTGACCTGAACTTTAACTCGGTTAGTGCCGCTGGCGTGCGCAGACCGGTCTATAAATAGCAATTTCAGAGACTGCGTCGTGGATCATCAGTGCGTTTCCGAGGGATAGGGCTGTCGACCATTTCCCCCGGAAAGGTCATTTCCAACACAATTTGGCGGTGTTTTAGTGGTCAGACGGGGCTTGAGGGACAGAAAGAGAACGCCAACGGACTTAACGATCCGTGCGATGGCGATTATGATTAACGAGGTCGGCCTCCAATATAGCTTTCCCGCGGGTGTTGGTGGCGATGATAATCTACTGGAAGGGAAACAGTAGGCGGCGCTCTGTCGAGCCAATGATTGCCCTAATCAGGCTCCCTCGACTGTCGTAGTCGTCGAGTGCTGATAATTTGTTGACCTGACATTTCAAGTCTCAAATACTCCCATCAGATGCATCAGATTGGTGATTACTACGCCTAACTCTGGCTCTTGGAAACAGGTGGAGGCAGTGGGCCGTATTTACGTATACGCCGGGGTCCTGTTAGAGATCTCATACAAACAGCGGCACACGGCGGGCCGTGTGCCTAGGATCAACAGCCGGCTGCGGCGACCTTTAGCCCCGGGGTGTGTTGGCCACCCAATGACGTCATTCAAAGGACCGCTCACCGCCGCGACTGACGCGGTGGGAAGAGCCCCGGGGTGTGTTGGTCACCTGCTTACGTCACTCAAAGGACTGCTTACCGCCGCGATTGACGCGGTGGGTGGCCGTATTTACATACACAGACACGTATTAGCCGAAACGCGCTCGTCTATCATTGTTGTTCCTTGTTATTATACTAGTCTCAACTGCTTACAATTGTCATACACAGACACAACGAGAGTAACTTGGCGAGGTACAGCAGTGGTAACTGGGAGGAAATAACAGCCACAAATTCTGATCAGGGAACTATACGCAAAGACAGGGAATCAGGAAGCCAGACGAATGAGATGGAAATGGCTGACGACAGAGATCCGTGCTTTGAGTGACAGAATACCCGATACGGATGTAGAAGAGACGGAGAGGAGCGAGGACGAACGGATATGCACATGACATGGACGAGAGAACGGAGATATGAAGACGTACGGAGAACGGGCGAAGGGGCTCGAAAAAGATAATGTTTAAGAGGAGAGAAGCAAGAGACGAAAAGAACGGGAAGGCGCGAAGAGGGACTGACAGGTTGGCATATTGTCGAAGAGGGACGGAGCCGAGCGAAGGAATCAGAGAGGCCGAGGCGCTGCGTCGGGAGGCGTCGGACGGACGATATTCGCCGCCGTCATTTCTGCGCCCGTTGACGTCGACCGTGATTTAGCCGTCTGTTTTTGTTTTGCAGCAGGGCGTCTGCCAGCCTGTGATGTCTCCACCGCCTTATTTTTCCTGTTCTGTCGGATATATTAGGGCATAACTTTGAGCTGGGTGAATTACACTGGTGAGATATATATCGTGGAGAAGTATAACTAGAAACGTCTATAGACGTTTATGTCTGGCCGGATTTACGGCTGCGCCCGCCTTTGTCCTAAAAGCTGTCCCGACAACCGATGGTATGCTGCAACTTTGTTCCGCAACGCTCCCTGTTTTGCGACGAAGAACGATGACATTATTCTTTCACAACTACTTTTGATCTAAAGTGGAGTAAAGTGAGGACATGACGTATTTATTGTCAGCTCCAAGTTTACAGCGAATCCCGGTCCGCCCTGTCACCAGCTCAAAGTATACGAGAGCGTTGCTTTAAATGAGCGCCTCGTGGATCCTACATAAATAAACAATTTTGTCTTATCTCGATCGCTAATATTATGCGTAAAATAAATTATTACCTCAGAAATGCATCGGTTGACCATCCACTCGTTTGCTGGAGGGCCGAACAAACAACGAGCTTTGTTCGCTGCAGAGTGTCAGTGCGTAACTGCCTTTCATCCCTTTCCGGTATACTCAGTTAACCGGGTGAGGCACGCGAGTCGGGGCCAATTTTGTCCGCGCTTCATCACTGCGGCTGCATGTGTAGACCACTCGGCCTGATGGCCCGGCCTCCAGGCGAGCTTCACTGGCACTTAGGCTGTGCCGCCGTACACTAGGCCGTTGCGATCCGCCTGCCCAGTATCCGGGGCTATATCGAGTGACACGACGCCGTACTCCGGCGCAGCATCACTGGATCAGGATGGCAGCGGGGTGTCGTATGACGGCCGCGTCTGCTGATAAGGGAGGAGAGAGAGAGAGAGAGAGAGAGAGAGAGAGAGAGAGAGAGAGAGAGAGAGAGAGAGAGAGAGAGAGAGAGAGAGAGAGAGAGAGAGAGGGGGGGGGGGGGAGATTGGGAAACAAAAGGAAGGTTGTAGTGATTGGCCTAATGTCAGAAGTGAACGTGAGTTTCTCAGTTAAAACTTCGTTTAATTTTAGGTTGATAGAATTTGTGCTTGCTATTACATAGCATCCATCTTTTGTCCGTTTGTATAGCTAAGCACAACAGAAGAGATGTGATGCTGAGTAGAGTTGCAAAATTTCCCTACCGCACTACCGGCATGCCGGTAATTTTTCACTACCGCGGGTTTTTTTCGTGGTATCTGGCATGTCTTGCCGGTAGCATGCCGGTATTTTTGATTTTGCACAAAAAATTATCAGCATATGATTCAAACTTTGGACACTAAGGGCTATTGAATTGTAATAAGTTGGACAATGGGTGGCTGTTGGGTGGGGCGGTTACTGAAATTGCCAAAATGTGGCATCTCATGTAGGGGTAAGCCAGAATCAAGAATGCAGGTTTTTTAGTATGCCGGTAATTTGGCGTTTTTTTTTTGCTTGGGGCGTGGTAGCATGCCGGTATCCCAGAAAATGTTTGTGGGGCGGGGCGGTGCCGGTAGCAGCCCATTGGGAAAACTTTGCAACTCTAATGCTGAGTCCGTCTGTGCTGCGCTGCCGTTTCAGCTGGAATGTTCTGAGGGAGCGGCTCGCTGACCGGTGAGTCGGTATGCTCCTGTCCGTGCTGGCCGCTCGGCGCCGGCCACCGCTGGCCGTGCCGCTGGTCCTGCTGGTGGCCCTGCTGCCCGGCCCCGCTCTACCGTCCCCGCCCGACAGCGCCGAACCCCGAGTCGTCCGGCTGGAGGGCGACCTCATGTTCGGCGGCCTGTTCCCGATGCACGAGCACATCAGTCGCGGCGACCAGGCGCACTGCGGTAAAATCAAACAGGAGAAGGGCATCCAGCGTCTGGAGGCGATGCTCTGGGCGGTGGACGAGATCAACCGCGACCCGCGCCTGCTGCCAGGGATCCGGATCGGGGTGCGGATCCTGGACACGTGCAGCAGCGGCACGTACGCCCTGGAGCAGTCGATGGAGTTCGTCAGGAGCAACATGAACCAGGTGAGCGCCAAAGGGGTCCCGAGGATGGATAGCTTGGGACGGACGGGGAACTGATGGGAGCGAGTGGGGATGCTTGCTGTTGTTCTGAGATAAGAACACAACCTCAAAATGGAAGTTGCTATGACTGATTTTTATTTCACCATTAAATAAATAAATCGGCTAGACTTAACAATGCAAAAATATTCACGTCACAAGTAAAACAGACTTTTCCTATTAAATTATTTATCTATGTAATTAAAGCTGAAGTTCATTTCCGCACTAGACATCAGTACCAGCGACGGATCGCTAATGGCCTGTCTGATATCAGCTGCATAAAACATACACGTGTGTATTTATATGCCGACCTCTGGCGTAGTTCCCGTCAGCACGCGGCGGATAACTGGGCGCCAGTACCGGCGGTCCATCCCAATAACAGCGCACTCGGGCCTGTGTGACGCCGACTGATGCTAATCAAGCGCATTATATCTGATGTAATAGAGACCTGCCGCATATATGAGGTCATGCGCATACTCAGCCGGCGATGCCGTCCAATAACCATTTATCTTGCGCAGTGCATATCAGGATCATTACTTCGACGTAATTGCGAAAAAGGGTCAAGGTCCAGAAAAAACACATCACTATGGAAACCTGATTGCTCTGTCCAGAAATAGCTGAGCACGTGGCGCATTAACCAATAGAAAATCATCTCAGGTCTCGTCTCATCGACCGTCGGCGGGACCAGCGAGACGGTCCGGTCCGGTCCGGCCAGGGCAGCGCTCGGTTAGTCTGGAGACCGGTCCATCGGTCCGGTCCAGACTACCGGTGAGTCGGTCCGGTCCGGTCCGGTTCGTCGGTCCGGTCCGGGAACCCGTCGCGTCGCGTCCGACGATCGGTCCGGGTCGGTGCCGACTCGGCGACGGCTCCGGACGCGGCCTGGTTCGGTACGTGACCGGACTGGAGGGGCCTGGGTGGCCGCCGCCGCTGCCGCCTCTGCCGTGGATAAACCGCCCCGGCGCCGCCCCAGGGGAGCTCCGGCCGGCAAACAGAGGCGCGCTGCCGCCGGAGCAGCCACTCCGCCGAGCGGGCGGGCTGAGCGGGCGGCGGGTCGAGGGAGTTTAGGATGAATCGGTTCCACCGGGCCCCGTCAGCGTATAGACGGCCAGTGAACCGCTTCGCACGGATCAATGGGAAACTAGCTGCTAAAACAGCGGGACAGGGGGACAGAGCCTTATACATCCATGCATTGTAGATGACTCCATGTGGAAACTGAACCAAATAGAGGAGCCGGACACATATAGCACTGAGCCATATATAGGGCAGGTGCCACAGAGCGCACGCGTATTGCCAAAGCTAGGAACCGGGACTCGGGAGCGAGTTCGACATGTCGACTCTGCAGCCGACACCGGCAGAGTTCTTCCCGTGAGTTCCGCCCAGAGCGAAAATAGTCCTTTGATCTGACTGATCCAATTCGACTCTCTAAAGCTCGGCCTTCTGTTTTAGTTTGAGTACCGTATTGCAACGACCCTGCAGGGCCTAGCTCATTTCATGTGTGTAACTCCTCCAGGCGCGTTCGACCACTTGCAGGCGGCAAACGATTTATGATTAATGCAATGTTTATTTTAGCCCATCGCGTCGCCGGGACTGCGGTCCCCTTCCGCTTCAGTTTTTCATGAAAATATTGTTTCGGCGCGCCCCGGCCGCGGCGCTGTTTGGCTGGCCGAGCCACGTTTGCATACATTACGCGAACGAATCTGTTAGAAACTCCTGCGCAGGCCCGTGCAAAGTTAAATAGACGGAACTAACTTCGCGTAAAACAAGAGGTTTGTTTTCAATAAAACACTGCAAGCTAGAACACTGCATTTAAATGGGTATGTGGACAAATTGCATGATGGCCCAGGGGATTCACGGTTAGGCCACACGACTAGACGTAGATATGTGCATGCATATATGTATATGTATATGACATGTATAATGTATATGTATATGTGTAGGCATATGCATACCTATGCATATTCTAGTTTTGCTTGGAATGTTTCGAGCTTTTAAGTGTTTGTTGGATATAACTCATTGTTTGCTTATAACTAATTGTTTGTTATGCACAAAACACTCATACACTAAAAGCCAACAAACAGCGAGGGAACTGCAACGGGAAATAACGAATGCTTAGATACTACAAAAGTAAAACACAAATATCTGCTATGAGCATGCATACGCTGATGTAGGATCATCTACGCTCTACCATATTTATAACGACACTCATTAATATTGTACCATCTCGAGTGCCTTGCTATCGCAGCCGCACCCTTCTGCCAGGCTCGCCCGCTCGAGGGCTGGGCAATTTCCCCGGAGGTCTTTACGAACGGCTGGGAATCGGAAAGAGCCCCTTGATCACCCAGTTCATTTTGGTCGGCACAGGCCCGTAAGTGATGCGCTATTTACAAGGCGAGCGGATTATTTGCAGATCGTTGAGCGATGAACTCATCAGTCGGACGCCCAGAGGTGAACGGCTCCCCGCCAGCTTTGGGGTGCCGCCGCAGCTCGGAGCAGAGCCGCGAACAGATACCAGCCGACATTGTACTCGCCAGCTTCGTATTGCTGGCGTAAATGTTACGGCGACGTTTATTTGTGTGTTCATGGGGGCAATAACCGCCCACGTTCCCACGGCTGCTCGTCAGCTGCCGGCTCGGACACAGACACGACAGCCTCGACTGCCGCACATTTCGCGGGCGGCTTGGACATGCCTTGCTCTGAGAGGTGCTCACGGCAGCCCGCCTGCCATCTTCCCGCACTGCCTGGCGCTCCGCCCTCCTCGTGTTACCGTTGGCGGCGCTTATTACCTTTCGGCCACGAGCCGAGCGAAAATAAAACATAGAGTAAAACAGAGCTGCCGCTCTTCCCCGCAGCTGCCCACCTGGAGCGCTTTGCTGTTCCAATGGGGAACGACTGGAACTGCTGGAACGCCGTTCCACACTCCCATCCGAGAAGGCGCGGAACGCGGCCGCTGTGTAGCTTTGTCCCACAAGACTCTCGCGCTCATTTTGCTCTTGCGCTTTGCCATTGCGCTTACTTACTATGATAGAATGTTTCATCATGTTAATTGTTCTTCCGTTAAATGGAATCTGCTTTAATATTTAAGGGCATCATATCACTTCATAAAGCTTTATAATCGTGCCATTCTGGTACCGCTGGTTACGATAAACTTGAGAGCTGCGATGACGAATCCATACGAATCTCAACAATTTCCTACTAAGAAAGGGCTTGCTTACCTTCTAGGTACACGCTTCAGTTGTTTAATCCCAAATTAGTCAGTAATAAGATGGGTAGTGGTACCCTGGATAACTTTGGTATTATTTGATTTTATAACCGGAGACGAAATTGTGCAGTTACATCGAGCGCTAGGGGTGACGAATTGGTGAAATTTCATGGAAAGACCGAACGTAAATTTCAAACGACTATCTTATCCCTTGCGGTGTTATTTATATGGGCCACAAACGTCACTTTGGTGTGTCACATAACGGCTCGGTTTGCAGTCCATCGCCCAGACATCCATCGCAGCTGCAATGACAGTTTACTGCGTCGAACGCTCTACGTGGCCAATTTGGGTCAGGTTGGATGCCTACGATATCGGACTCACCTGTTCAACGTAATCTACATCAATTCGCATCAATTTTGAAGCCTATCAAATCAAATGGGTACCCTTGAACTGGCTTGATTAAATAGTGCCGTTAGACCGGCAGTCGGTGAGTTCATGTGCTAGATGGCACCGTTTTCTTACCTGCGCGGGCGGCTTCTGTAAATAACCGACACCAGACCGACTCCTTGAATGGACGACAGGGCGGCTCCGTAGCGTGGACCAATTCCTATGTAAGTAAAAGTACATAAGTACCAATACTTTCCGAGCACTTTGGTAGGCATGGGGCTCTGCCGCAGCTGGATAATTGGGGAGGAGCAAAAGCCGATCAATTTCTTTTTCCAAACAGTGCCCATTGCTACAAAATGAGAGAAAGTATTTTAGAGGATGGATCCTTTAGTCTCTTGATGAGGTATACGGTATTACCTAGCAAACTATTTGTGTAATACAGTACGATGTAACAGACCACCAAAGTCCCAGTCGGCTACCTACATATAGCGTATGCATTTGCATATAATGTACATATCGTACATTTTTGCGTTTATATGCGTACATAACGCGCATTATACTGTATAGCGTAATTTAGGACGGCTTCGCTGGCTGAAATAAGGACAATGGGTTCTCAAGAGTTGCGTCATGTCTCTGCAGGGCGACATGTTTGACGCCAAAACTGCACATAGTATTTGTCTTTGATTCGTCATTGGAAAACAGCAAGCCCTTGTAGGAAGCCTTAATCCCTCCAAGCAGTTTCAAGCAATCTAATAAATCAACTTAACTTATTTGGACGTCATATATTCAAATAACTTAAAACAGAGCAACGCCCAGGAGGTTCATGAGGTGAATTAAGCGATGGTGACATCAGCTCTGCGGCTGGAAAATTCACCGTGGCGCTACCTGTTGTAACAGTCATTTGGCGCTATTATAGGACAGACATTTCCCGACGGAACATTTATTTTCGCCGACAGAAACAAGCAGCTGAGAAGCCCACTTTACATTCAGGTCGGAGATCCCGGAGCACTTCGCGGCCGTTACATGACCAGGAACTCGATTTTGCAGCCGTTTCCGGCGAATATGTCGCAATCAGCTCAACTATTTTTGAGTGTGTGTTGATCCAACAGCACATCATTTTCGCACTAGCCATTTACAAGTTCAGAGCGAAGGTAGAGATGTAGAAAGGCTGTTGGCCGTTGTCTTCAGGATTGCGATTTACCATGAAAGACGGCAATGCTTTGATTTTCGAAAAATATGGGGTAGGCATTCTCGAATTTCAAGGAAACTGAAGGAAGAATAGGCAAAAATATGTTCGGTTATGTGGTGAACGATAAATCGGCACCGGCTATTGGCTGGCTGCCGATATCGCTAATACTTTTTAATCAGTATTTTCATTGCG